CGCATTCCATAACTTAGGCACCACCGCTGAGAAAGCCCTCCTCCGAGTAACCACCCTCCTAATTTCCTTCACTGAGGGCTCCCGGAGGAGGGCCTCTCCCACTGATCTCAGGGAGCGACTGGGCATATATGGACGTAAGCGCTCCTTCAGGTAACCAGGACCCAAGCCGTTTAGGGCTTTATAGGTCATCACCAACACCTTGAATTGGGCCTGGACTTCAATGGGGAGCCAGTGAAGCTGACGGAGAACTGGAGTCATGTGAACATAACGTCCAGTCCCCATCAGCAGCCTGGCAGCTCTATTTTGAACCAGTTGAAGTATCCAGACCGTCTTCAAGGGTTTTGGGTTAAGTAGAGAACATGTTCCTGGAGATGGAGGCTGAAGGTTGATTTTTTTAAAAAGACAGATGTTAAAGCTCAAGAGCTCAGCCCAGTGCATTGACTTAAAGTGTGTAACTTCACACATTTAAGGTGTGAGACTTGGCAAAACTTGCTTGGTAAATGAAACCTTTCCCCTATGGCTGGTACAGAGATTGGATCTAAGGACCAAAATGCATATTCCTGAAGCCCAGGGACCTCCAAATGACCACCCAAAGAGCAACTGGTGATGGGGATGTTGTAAACCTCCACAGTATTGTAACTATTGTATTGTAAACGTCAGCACCAAGGCTGACCTCAATACAAGGGAGGAAGGTGCTTGTCACTGCATCCTTTCTTATTATTTAATTGCATGTGTACATATAAAAGTAATAGTTGGACAAGTAGATGGGCAAGTACCTAGTTACAGTTGCTATTTTTATTTATTGTTTAATTTAAAAAGACATTTCCACAACAAAATGGTGCTTATTATCAAGAAAATGTGTTCAGGATCAAAGCTGCTGAAGCAAATTCCCTTTTATTTCAGTCAAGTCATGATAGTGCTTTGATTTAAGCTCACAATGCAAAACTGTAAATGCTCATGGCCTTTCTGTCCCTTTCTCATTAGAAGAGATTAGATTAAATTATACTAGTTTAGATTATGATGTGGGGGAGAGTATTTGCTAATTATTCCTTTACATTTATATCCCACCTTTTTTCTTTTGTGAGGAACCCAAGGCAGCTTGCATAGTCCCATTGTATCCTCACAATAACCACCCTGTGAGATAGATTGGGCTGAGGTTCTGTGACTGGCACAGTCACACAGCGCATTTCATGGCCAAGTGGGGGCTAGAACCTGGATCTCCTTCATCCCCAGTCCAGCACTCTAACCACCACATTACACTGGCTCTCAGTGTTACTTATGTGTGTCACAACTGATACAATACATGGCACAATACCCTGAAGTCCAGGATCTAAAACTGCACTGCTTTGTGTATGATAGGAGGAGGGGGGAAGAAGTCCTCTGTTTCCAAGTGCTAAGCATTAAAGTCATGCTCAGAGGCATCATGATTTACTTGGTATTTTAATGACACACTCTTATGCCTTCCTAGGCAGAACAAAATCCTACACCTCCCTGGTGGGACTTCTAGGACTTTTTTCTGTTTAAACATGCACAGGGTTGCATCCTAATGGGCTAAGCAAGGTCTCTGGTTTGAGCCCTGGTTCAAATTTAAACTTGGTTCAATTGCCCCCTTGCCACCGACATAGGCATAAACTTGAACAGGAGAATCTCTCCTAATGCCAGATCAGTGACAGCATAGAAAAGGTGACCCAATTCCTTCCACACCTGCCTCTCTGGCATAATCCCCCATGTTCTATTCTCCAGGTTTTTCTTTCCTAAACTCAGCGAATTCAAACGTGATGAGCCTACTTCTGCAGCTCATAATTCTCAATCTCCTGTGTTGCCACAGAGAAGGCAAAGCACCAAAAAGACCCACTCCAAATGAACAGTGGAAGGGGCTGGACAAGTGGCAGAACAAAGAACTGGTAAGAGCGCTCAGAATACATGGGAGGAAGGGCATAGCTTCAGGCTTAGCTCGAAAACATGCAAGGATGCAACAGAAAGAGTGCTTCTAAACATGCAAGGAATGTTTTCCACCTCACTACAACATAACCCCATACCCCACCTGGATCAGAAAAGGTTTTGAAAAAATATCTGATTGCTTAGTATTCAATAAAGAACAGCTACTATTAACCATAAAGAGAAAAGCCCAACAGCAATATTTTCTTTTGCATTCCGCTTCCAGTGAAATTACCAATCAAAAATGCCCCCTTAAAACTCAAATTGATTGGCCTAAGGATTAAGCATGTAACCCTATGCATGTTTGGAAACAAACAAAAAAAAGGTCCTAGAACTGCCCGGAGCCCCCACCTAGCATGCTGGGATTTGTAGGACCTTTTTCTGTCTAAACATGCATAAAATTATGCCCTATACCCCTTACTGCAGGCTAAATCAATCATCAAGAAGGTGTGGTTTGGCCTGCCAAATGTTTTGAAAACCCCCTGGTTTTTTACATTCAGGGGCAAGCCAGAAAGATCAAGTTTGGTCAGCTTTTGTGGTCCACCATAGGACCCAGCAGTGAATTTGGTGGATAACAGTTTGAGCAGATCCAATTAAGGTTTGCACACCTTACTGACAATAGGTGAGGCTGAACAGACCATGCCACCGACTTCAGCGGTAATTCAGGCATTGTGGTTTCATTCCCTGCATGCACATCCCACAGTGGCCATTTTCACTACAACATTTCCATTATCTCATTGGCTCTCATATCTAAGGAAGCTACTTTCCTCAAATCCTCTTGAGATATACTTTAGTTAAAAATTACACTGACATCTAGCATTTCTGTCAAGGCTTCATTTCTTCTGAACTCTACATTTAATATGTCTTGTGGCCTTGAAGACTCCATGGCATCTATCTGATGAGAAAAGAAAGGTTTGTTATGCTTTAGGAGTAATGATAAAATGTTTGAAGACAAAGCTGTGTATGCTCCGCATCCTTCTCTGCACTGCTCCCCCCATTAATCTGCCCCCCTTAGTTAGGCGTGGACAGTGAGCAAATCTCCAGATGTTTTGAACAACTGCCAGCATTTTTGACTATTAGCCATGCTGGCAGACAATTCTGGGAGCTGAAGACCAAAAGGCCTTCTGCACACTCCTGCAGTGGAAGATGCTGTCCCATCACCAGTGTCAAGGTCAAATTCAGCTGCCAATCAACTAGTTGGCTCCTCAATGTAGAATTGGAGAAGTGCATGTGGGGTCTCTCACTTTGCCTTGACCTGGGAAAAAATGAGATGCCTCTTCAAGATACCACCTGGTCCACCCCTACCCTTTTTGACACCAAAATTAGGATTAGGCTTACATTACATTTACAGCCTGTGTTCTTCATTTTGTGAGGAGCCCCAGATGGGTTACATAGCCAGGACCGTCTTAACGCATGGGCCTGATGGGCTCTTGCCCGTGGGCCTCATACTAATCTGTGTATGTTAACCCTTGGAAAATTGGAAAACTTCCAAAATTAACAGTAGTTGTAGTTGTCACAGGGGCCCGGTACACTGCTTTGCCCAGGGCACATAATGCTGTTAAGACGGCCCTGTACATAGCTCCATCTTGGTCTTACATAAGGTAGAACTGTGGCCCACCTCCAACATGCAGCAGAATGAGGTGCTAAGTGTGATGTCTACAACCTAAAAAAAGGCTTGTACCTCTTCAACTTTCAGGTGGGAGATACCATGTATGAAGTCCCTTCTTGTGTTAAACACTCTTTGAAAAATGAAAGCCAGCACAATAGGAGAAAGACAGAATTAGAACCTTCCTTTCTGGTATGCTAAGCCTGTTTTTGTTTTTAATTTGAATGGAGAGGGGGTTACACATGGAAGCATTCCAGAAAGGTACCCACCCAGTCACCAGTGGCGTAGTTCATTCTGTTCCCCAGTCTCCTACCGGTTAATTTTGTCTGCCAACCAAGCCATAGAAGTCTTCTTATGAGCACAGCTCTGCAAGCTTCTGAGCTACACAGAACTGTCCTTGGGCCTCTTTCCCAAGACAGTACATTCCCAGCCTGATTTGGGAAATTGCCGTATGGTGAGTCAACCAGTGGTCCAATGTAGGTCGCATGATGGCAACCTTATGCACAGTTATCTGTCAAAAGTAAGCTCCCCTGAACCCAGTGTTGCTTACTTCTGACAACTTGTAAAACAAACAGAACCTTTAACAACCACCAAAGGTCTCAGGACTGCGTTCTTCTGCATTGGTGCTCCACTGAACCATTGGCAAGGGGAAAGGATTGTGCATACGCCTAAGACACTTTTGAAAACAGCATACTTAGAATAACAGTGAGAAAGCCCACATGGTGGGACTAGAGTGGACGGGGAAGAAATACTAATTTTGAAGAGTTATAGATGTCTGCTTATCTCCTTAGTTGCTTCATATGGAAAAAAGCTTCCATTCTCAATAAGCCTCTCCTTCATTGAAGAAACCTCGTCTTCACAAGCTGGAACTCTAGCAGTGTTGCCTTTGTCAAGAAACAGTGAATGCAGGTTTGCTAGGGGAGTACAATCAAAAGAGCATTTACAATTTATTCAGACTTACAAGAAATGCATGCAGCCCCCACCCCGCTCCCCACAAGGGCCTACCAACATGGAGCCCGTACAAGATGCTTTTATAACCTATCAGTTACATAGTTTAGGGGAGGGAGGAGGATCATGTAAGCAGTTTACCAAGAAGCACACAAGAATAAAATAAAGGGGTTGAATGGATTAAGACAACACAAAAGGAAGAACTTTCAGGACAGGCGTATATTAGCATATTTAGACTTACAACATGGTTCCCTGACCACCATCAGGAATCCCATCTTGAGTCTTAAGCTGTCCTTACAGTATCAGGTTTTTGGCAGCCATATTATGGGAGAGCTTTTGCTCATCTTGGCCTGACACATTCTTAGAATTAAAGGCAAGGCTCTTTGCTGTCCTGACTCAGGTCAGTGGTGCCTGCTATTGCTAAAGGGTGAGTGAAGAATGGCTAAATAGCTGGGGTGGTATTTTCTCATTCTACTGTTCATATTTGCTCCAGCCAGTAGATTGGTATGCCAAGGAAGCTTTTGGTTTACCTCTCTCTCCCTACATATACAAACATACAGAGAGCCAACTCAAGACACTTTTGCCACTAGGTATGTAGTACGTGAGGGTGACCAGGTTATTTTGGCACTTGAGGCAGAAAATCTCACTTCTTGTGCATCTCTATTTTGCTGCCCCCCCCCACCTCACTCCCTACATACACCATATCAAAAACTATAGTACTAGTACTGTATGAAAGTCAGACCTTCCGCACTCTTTCCTTCCCCTGCTTGTTCAGGTTTGCAGGCTATTTTCCACTTCTCTGCTGGTCCCACGCATTTTCCTGCAGTGGTGTTTAAGACTTGTAGGAAGGGTGCAGGAGAAGGCCCCACCCCTTTGAGAATTTTGTACAAAATCTGAGGATGTTGAAATACAGATTGCAGGCTGGCAATGCTGTTTGCTAGAAATGATGGTGTATGTTAAAGTTATGGGGAAGGGCCATAATAACTCAGATTTATATTGCATGCACACAGTCCTTGGCATCTCTGGTTTAAAGCAGGACTAAGAAGGACCTCTGAAATCTTAAGATCCTGTTTCCAGTTGAAAGTGTCTCAAGTGAACAGGGCTAAGAACCATTCCTCTCTGAGATCTTGCAAAGCCATTGCCTGTCAGCCATGCAGTACATAGGCATGTGCAACTGGACTGGCAGAAGCAGCTTTCTCTCTTCCCTGTGGCAGCCCTTACAGACCAGCAAAGCACTGCATGGGGAACTGGGGAACTCTGCTAAAGGGGGTGAACAATGGTGGGGGGCAGGTGAGACCTGGGATCTCTGAAAATCAGGCAAAGCACCTTCTGTGACTAGGGCCCTTCTGTCAACAAAAGGCAAATTCTAGCTGCAACCCATCACCTAACTGATGCAGTATAAGGTAACTCTTATTTTCTGACATGTTTGAAGGTTTTCTCTGATACATTTGTTGAGCACCACTATGGTCTCCAGCCACCACGAGACAGTTGCAAGAGCAATTGTTGAAATTGGAAATATGACAGGACCCCTTAAAAATCAGATTCAAGTCAGGGGTGACCAAAGAGATCCTTATTTTTGTTTATCGTGTTCCTCTGGTACAGTTTCTCAGTGCTCTGCAGTCGTACCTCAGCACCAAAGGTTCCCAAGTAAAGAGATTTGCACCAGCCTTTGTTGTGGCCTTGAAGGATCACAAGAACATGGGGACCTATGGGATGCAAGAAGAGCAGAGATGGTAATCCTGGGCCTTGGGTGAAGAAATAGATATGTCTAGCAGGTGAGCAGCTCTTGCATACTTCTGTCTTAACATTTGCCAAGTTCAACATGATAAAAGAGGACTGGGCAACTTTTGGCTTACAATTCCCATGTTAGGAGGGCCACAAATTGCCCACCCCTTTTGTCAGAATCTCTGAACTGATGCATTGTACAAATCCAAAATTCAGATGCTGAATGTGTGTTCATTTTCAAATCAAACAGTAGGGACCACTAAAGTTCATCTTTTAAAAAATGCTTGTTAAACAATGCAGCAAAAGACATTAATCCATATCATTCATGCAAACCTTTTGAAATTTAAGATAAGCATCAGAGGCCTTGCACTTAATTCTGTTATATAAAGTCAGACAGGGAGGTACATCAGTCTGGGCCTTTTTGATAAAGGTGCCAAAACTATATGGCAGGGATATCAAAAAAATTTTAGTCTGTAAGCAAGACTAAAGCAAGACTTTGAAGAACCACTCAGAGGCCACATTCCATCAGTGTGTGGGTCCAAAATGTCCAGATGATTCAATCTAAGGTTCTTTCTGCCAGTCTTAACGGAGGCTTTTCAACCTTTTTCAGTTAGCAAAAGCCAGGAAACTACCAAACAGTAGGTGGGTGGGGACAGGAGGAAGAGGACATAGCAATGTGAGGCATTCCAGGGGAACAGACTGGCCCCCAAGCTTGTGTTTCTCTATCCCTGCTGCAACCCATGGATGCTGAGCATAGCTAACTGCATTCTAGTGCAGAGGTGAGGAACCTTCCCCCTGCCCCTGAATTTCACCAGTCCTGGTTTGGTGCTGGGTAAAATTCCAGCATTTTGGGTTGCCATCTGGAAAATTTTATTTATTTATTAAAACATTTTTATGCCGCCCCATTCGCCGAAGCCTCGGGGCGGCTTACAACAATCAGTTTGCAAGAGCAATGGCGAAGTCCAAGAGACTTGACATTTTAGGAAGAAGTGTGTGCTTCTTCCTAAAACATGATCTATATGTTGCAAATGTCCCTCAGTCCCTTGACAGATAAACTGATGTGGAAAGTGGCTTGCCTGAAGGAAGAAAATCTGCAAATCACTGTGTTAGCCTTTTTTCCTTTTGAAGGAAGCCCAAGGCAGTTTACATAGACCACCTCCTCCTCTCCAATTTGATCCTCACAGTGCCCCTGTGAGGTAGGTTAAGCTCTGAGTCAGTGACTGGCCCAAAGCCACTGAGATTAGAATCCGTATCTCCCAAGTCCCAGCCCAACATTTCCACCACTAAACGAGACTGGCTCTTAGATGAATCCAGGGAGGCTTGGACTCTTGATGGCCAGCAGGAATTTCTACTTCCACATGCAGAAATTGGAATGCAACCTCAAGTAGATGGCTAGTCCCAATGTGCCCTGCTTATGAGCATTCTTGCTGTCTACCAGACTGCTTCATTGATTGATTAAAGTCAGGATGTGATTAATCAATAATTTAACTGAGTGACAGCCCTAAAATTAAATGTATTGAAAGTACCAGAAAACCTCTTTGAATTTTATTTTATAACGAAAGTGGAGTATACAATAGCATAAATAAACCATATTTTTGGCCCCAAACAGTGGCAGTTCCTATGAGAACCAGTGTGGTGTGTGTGGTGGCTAGAGTTTTGGAGTGGGGACCCAAGAAATTTAGATTCTAGTCCCCAGTGAGCCAAGAAGCTCACTAACTTTGGGTCAATCACTTGCTCTCAGTGGGTGGATGTTCTGGGGATAAAATGGAGCTAGGTAAGCCATCCTGAACACAAGAGGAAAAAAGGTGGGATAAAAATGCAGTGTAAACCCCAAAAGTGTTTTCTCAAGCAGCTGTTGGGCAACCATCTACCTGTTTCCCATTCTTTCTCTCATCTCTTTAGCCTCAGTTATGGAGCGTTTCCCTTTCTCATGCTAATTCTTCCTTTGTACTTTTCTTTACCCATTCAGGTGAGATCCTGTGTCTAAATATTGCTGATCATCCTCCCTGAATATCTCTGCATGTCCTGCTGTTGCTGTCGCACTCAAACATTTATATGCCAGCAAGCTGCTGGTGTGGGGCTTAAATAATTTCCTATCTCATCCTAAATAGTTTCAGCACATTTGAGAGACTGGGGCTGGTTCAAACCTCTCTAAAACCTGAAGCTTATTGGTCAACTTTAGACTGGTCATTTCTCTGGTCATTGTACATAATGCTAACCTATGGGATGGGTTACTGAATTCTGGGTTAGTGCCATGTATGTCTGTGGTCATGATAAGAAACCATGGCATATTAACCATGAACAAATGAAAAAGAGAATCCTTGTTTTGTTGATAGAAATAAACCCTGAGTTGTTTAAACAGTGGGTGGTTGTTACATGGGAACCCTAAACTGTCAGTTGCTCATGGATTGTTTTGCCAGACTACAGAGGTGATGGGCAAGACTAGCTAAAATAAAAACAAACAAAAATCCCAGCAGCTCTACGTAACAGTACCACTGTGGCAAAAGCTTTGGGGATACAGCAAGGGAACAGGAAAAGGAAGGAAGGAAGAAACAAGGATTGAGAGAACAAACCATGATTTGAGCTATCACCTGCCAGACAAAGCCTGGACAGTACAACAAACCATGGGTTAAATAAACCATGGGTTAGTATTATGTGTGAACCAGGCCACTGTCTCTCAGCCTAAGCTACCTCACAGGTTTGTTGTGAAGATAAAATTTGGAGTGTGAGAAAGAAATATGAACTTGAGTTCCTTAAGGAATGGTGGGTTGTAAGTGTAAAACAGTAAATGTAGCCTTCTTCATTGCTAATAATAATCACAGCTGTACTAATCACATGTATTTGGATGGGTCCAGATAAGTTCCTTGGCCTTCTCACTAGGTTTGGGTTGCAGAAAAGGCCATCAGTTCACACTACTGTACCTGGAAGAAAGGGGATTTCATATAGTGAAGGGATTCTTTTCAATAGAGGCTTGAGGAAGAAGTGACAGCAGTTAAGTGTTCCTATAAGTCATTGCCAAAACCAGTGACAGAAAGCCTGTTTGAACACTGTACCTTGTGATAAGTCTGTGTATTAATCAGTGGCTATAAAATGCAATCAAAATAGCCTGAGGTATTGCTTTCTTTTATTTGGCATATTCCCAGCACTGAACTCTGGCAGTCTGTAGAGGGGTCCACAGAATGCAACTACCACTATCTTTTGGAAAGGGGGTCCGGGAAGTGATGTGTTTAATGGGAAGGATCAGGGCTTGACTTTTCCTGGAAACCTTTTTCCTAATACCAAGAAGTGGTCAAGGTATGGCTATTGGATAGATGCTAAGTGTAGACTCAATGGAAAGATATTTTCGGCATGTGCCTAGAAGCACCCCCATCAGTATTTATATAGCAACCATTCCAGGGCCAACCCTTGGCACACAAAAGGTCACATGGGGCAACCCATGGGTTTAAATTAAACTCTGATGGGAAGGAGAAGCTTTGGGGGAATTGGTCTTCACAGAATCATAGCATACTAGATTTTGAAATGGCCAGAAAACTATCAGGTCCAACCCCCTGCTCAGTGCATAGCTCCAAGTTACACTGTCCCTCTCACATGGCTGTCCAGTTGCATTTTGAATGCCTCTAGTGTGGGAGAGCCCACAACCTCCCTAGGTTATTGGTTCCATTGTCATACTGCAATAACAATCAGGACATTTTTCCTGATGTTCAGCCACAACATGGCTTCCTGTAGCTTGAGCCTGTTACGCCATGTCCTGCACCCTGGGATGATTGAGAAAAGATTCTGTCCTTCCTCTTTGTGATCCTCTTTCAAGTCCTAACCAGTGCTGAGTAAAGGAGAACTAGTACTTCACAGGATTTGGAAGTGATATTTCTGTGAATGAAGCCTAAAGGAGCATTTGCCCTTTTAACTGCTGTTTCATCAAATCAAGGTGTTAACATCCATACCCAGTCACCTCTTCAGCAACAAAACCCTGAAATAAGAGAGTCTGTTGGACATTAAAGAATAATTCATTTATTGTGGCATAAATTTTCACAGACTATGCTCTCCCTCCAACCTACATTCCCTAAAATCTTCTCCAGAGCAAGTCTGGCAGTATAGGGTGGTGCCCCATCTGAAAAGTTAAGAAGGATTGGGCATGGACAGCCAAGATGAGAGCCTGCCTCAGTTTCCAGAGGTGGTAAACTTATGATCAGCTAATGCCTCAGAACCCCTTCAGACTATAGGTGGGGCTTTCTTTAAAAAATGTTACTCCTTACTAACTGGGTAACTTTGGGCCACTCATAGACTCTACCTTACAGGCTAGAAATCCTGCTCTGTGAGATGTTTTGATTCACTCCGTCAGCATTGAGTTTTGTGAACTTCACTCCCCCTATTGGAGAGTCTGATTATAACTTACAGTAGAGTTGCCTTATATGAAGAAAGTGTAGTAACACAATATTTAGTATTAAAGGGAATTAATGCAGGCTAGAACCAATTTAGAAGATGTTCCAATCAACTTAAGGCACAATCTTATGCATTCCTTGAAAAGGTTTACAGCCCCCAGCATGCACCAGCCTATTTAAATATGCACTAGATTGCACTGCTACTTTATTAGTGCTTTTATACACATTAATGAAGAAAGGCTATCTAACACGGTTTACCTACACGCACCCCCTAATATTGTGTATGTGAATCTAAGTAAGAGAAGCTGTGAAATATGATACTTGCTACCACCTGGGAGAGAGCACATGTTGCCTGTTGCAGAGACAAAGAGAAGGTGCCGGGGGGGGGGGGGGGAGAAAGAAATATGATGAAATCACATCAGGGGGTTTGAACATAGCAAGTGACTGTTGAAACACTTTCTCTATTCCCTCATATCTAGAAGCATGTGGAGTTGTTCCTATTATCCAGTACAACCCCTTTATCCTAGAAAGCAGGTAATTTAAGGAGACATAAAAGAGGTGTAAAAACTTGTGCATGGTGTGGGGAAAGTAACTGAAGAGACGTTTTTCTTCCTCAATATTAAAACTCTTCCCCAATCTTGTGTCCGCAAATGACAGACTACAATTTCCATTAGCCCTCATTAGGGGCCATGTTCCCTCTGAGAAAAGGAAAAACCTTTGGTTTTTAAAGGACCTATGGGGTTTTTTCCCTGGCTTTCCTGTCCTGGTGAGCCACTGGCTAAGAGGCTAAAACTTACATATGTTAAAATTAAGTTCTGTTCAATATAGTCATCAGCTTTACAATGAACCATTCCTAGTCAATTTTTTAGTCCCTCCCTCCTCATCCTCATAATGCTGTTATTCCATTTTTTCCTTCTTCATAAGCCAGAACCTCCTCTCATCGCCTTAGCTTCCCCTATATTTATTCATAAATATGAATTTCTCTCTTCCCAAATCACATCATATTCTTACAGACCTTCCCTTTTAAATGTTTTTGTCATCTATAGAATCGAGCCTGTTTCTTCGGCTCCGCCCCCTTAAGCTAAGCCCCGCCCCTCACAATAGGCTCCACCCCCACGTCGTCTCTGCTTCCAGGAGGATATAGGGATTTTAATGCTTTTGACGCTTAAAAAAAGACAACCCAGTCTATCTCAAAAGAATTCCAGGAATTTTTTTAAGCATGAAATTTTAGCTTACCTTTTCAATTCCCCTCGCACGTTAGTGACGAGGCACTTCCGGTGCCATTAGAAGCGTTTCCGGGTCAGCTGACGGCTCAGCTGGGGCTGCCCAGCAGGTGTGTCAGGGCGGCGGGTGCTCTTTTATGTCCTGCCCGGAGGAGCACCTGGAGGACGGGGCTGCTCGCAGAGGAGTCGTGGGCCGGCGGGGAACAGGGGGTGAGCCCGGGCGGAGGAGAGCTATTGCTACCCCTGCCCCGTGTTGCAGAGACGGAGCCTGTGTTAGTTGACAGGTTGTCCATGGCTTGTTATACTCAGGCTAGACCGCATAAGCGAAACCTGCTTTTTCTCCCACCACCGCGTCCCTAATCCGCATTGGGAGCGGGGAGGGTGTTAAAGGGGGGAACAAGTAGGCAGCAAAGAAAATGCGTGGCCCTACATACAGAAATGGGAGTGGGAAGAAGCAGAAGTGGTGGTGATGGTGACTGAAGAGAATATGGAGGTTAGAGGAAGTGAAGGGTGAAAGGAGGATCTGTGGGTAGGCTGGCAGGACCATCTAAACCTCTGTGTTGGACTATGACTAAACGATTCTGGTGGAAAGCTTTGCTTGGCTGTGAAATGATTTTTGGGTCAGTTATGAACCAGAGAGTTATATATGCCATCTTGAGCTCTGTGGAAGGAGGAGGAGCCAAGACTGTAATAAATGTTTTTCTGCTGCAGCAAATATTTATTGTGTTAATGTATTGTTGTTGTTGCAACATAATAATTTTACTATTAGTAAAATTGGTATATAAAAGTTTTTGCAATCTCAAAGCTGTGGTAGAGGACAAAATATTTTAAGAAAACAAAAGTAATCCATGTGCAAGTGTACAAATACTATTTTCTTGGTGATGTACAAATAATAAGAATTCTATGCCCAGTACTCAGAAGTAAATGCCAGTGAACTCAAGGGAACTTACTTTTAGGTAGATGAGTATAATATTGCAGTCTTTGCCAGCTAAATAAAACAGAAGGTGATGGATATGTAGGAAGAGATACATGGTTGTGGGGGGGATTCTAAGATATATGATGATGCAGTTAAAGAGCAATTTGAAAGGTTAAAACCCCATTGCTGAAACCAGTAGTAGATGGGAAGTAATAGTTGACACACTCAATGCCACATTATTATTTGTTAATTATTACCTTGCATTTTTCATATTGTGAGGAACCCAGTGGCTTATGTAGTTCTCCACTACATTTTTATCCTCACAACCCCCTGTGAGATGGGTTAGGCTGAGAGTCCATGACAGGGCCAAAGTCATCTAATGTGTGTCATGGCTGAATAAGGACTAAAACACAGGTCTCCCAGGTCCCCAGCTCAATACTAAACAGCTTACCAGCTCTCATTATGTATCATGCTACTGGCTTTCAATAGCATTATATGTATACAAACCCTGAAGTATTTAGCTCTTTAAGTATCTGAATGGTCTATTTTTTGTTGGCACATCCATTGGAATCTTAATTATAATGATGTTATGGCTGCAAATTGATATGCAGTTATTTGGGAGTAAGTCCCATTGGACAACTGTTTGTGGGGTAACTTGAGGTATGAAGGCATAGAATAAATCTTTTGCACAAACACATAAAACATGGTGGATTTTGCTTCCAAGTATATGCATATCTAATCAAGAAATAAATGCAGACTGTATTTCTTATCTATTTGGAGGAACAGTATGCAGTCCTTCTTATAGAGCTGGAAAAAGATGCTGTATATTCGGTACACTGTTGCAACACTGCTTTTGAGATACCCAATCTCAAAAGCAGTGGAGTTATGGGACTAGGAAGCAGATTATTTTATCACACATGAACATACATCTCTCCACTTCTTTCTCATTCACTGCTTTCATCACAGCCAGCTGAGAGTTAAACATATAGAGGAAGAAGGGAAGAAATACCGGCTGTTACTCATTTGTGCAAATACAATTGTGTATTAACTCATGTTGCGTACTTCTGACAAGCTCTGAGCAGTTTTGTAGTTTTACAACAACCTCATATGTTTGGTTAGGCTAAGAGAAAGTGACTTGCCCACCACTAGTGAGCCAACACATCTGAATCAGGATTTAAATATGGGCTTTCCATTTAATCCAGTTAATAGGAAAGTACTTTCTGGGGCTTAGGATCTGATTTGTCTTGTGAAGTTGGGCAGTTGTGGTGTTGTTTCATGAAGTCTTTTGGTTGCTTCTTGTGTATAATTTGCTGCCTCCCACTTAAACTCACTTCTTTGTTATTTTGCATTACCCTCTCTGCCCGTGTGTGTTCCTGCTGGACAGCATGTCGATTTTCCGTTCTGGCCTGCTGGTTCTGACATCACCACTATCAGCACTTTCCCTGCGCCTGGTGCCCATTCTTGCTTCAGCTGCCCGGCTGGTACAAGACACCCTCTATATTCATCTACAGCCAGGGCTCAGCTTGACAGGCTCAACGCAGCCCCGGTCCACATATGTCCCTGCTACATCAGAAGTGTATACCCTCATCAGCAAGTTATACACTCATGCTGGCATCCATCGTCACCTTGATGTCCGGGTGCTACTCACCAACATCCTCAACCAGGGAGCTGCCCCTCCAACACTTGGATCTGTGCAGAACCTCTCTCAGCCACCTGAAGTGGTACTCACTGACTTTGAAACTGGAGACAGAGGGCAATCCAACCCAGTCAAGCAGCGCCTGGAACGCTATGCGACTAGCTGCTATAGCTGTCGCCCCAATCTCATCTCTGTTTTGTTATATCCTGAGTATGAGCTAGAAGTCACAGATGGAGAACTGTCCCCGCAGCATGAGATCAACATGACGGAGGAGCTATTGCAGAGCTACAGTGATGTCGTTGTTGGGGGCACTTTTGACAGACTTCATAATGGTCACAAGATCCTTCTGAGTGTGAGCTGCATGCTGGCAGAAAATCGGCTTCTCGTGGGTGTCTCTGACAAAGATCTCCTGGAAAGTGGGTCCCTTTGAACCTCGTATGCCCTTTCTCCAAGCTCCCACAAAGCCCTTTTGAGAAATCAGGAACATTTAGGGAGCACTTAAAAGTACTCCAGATTTTGCATATGGAATTATCTAATGCTGTGACTAGAATTGGGGCTGGAATACTGGATGGAGGTTAGGTCCTTTATTGCCTAGAAATTTGATGTTGATGCTTAGGAATCCAAAATATTTCCCAGCTCCTACTGTAACTGTTACTAGTTGAGTACAGTTGCAAGCTATGAAAAAAAGATCTTAAATTGTCTAGCTGCTAGCACCAAATGTTTCAAAATTATTTCATAACAAGATTGAAATATGTTAGATTCTTAGATAATCATCCAAAGGTTTCCATACATTTGAGTATTTTTTAACCCTACATGCAACAAGCATGTCTTGGTTTGGGTTGGATAATTTAAGATTTCTGTCTGCCATCATGATTTGAGTCACTTTATTTTGTCAGGGGAATGACGATTCAAGCAACAAGACAATTTACAGGTGAAATAACTTGTTGGGCTGAGCTGTTCAGACACTTCTAGATTTCTTTCTTATCCCTTTGAACTGTCATTGCTGGACACTTTTCTTAGAGCTTGCTAAGAAAGGAATCCAGCAATCAGAGATAGGGAGGTGAAGATAGCTTTCACCACTCTTCCTGCACTGTCAGCTTCAGCCCATCAGGGATTTTTATACATGGAAGCCTCTGAGTTCTCACCAGCTGATACTTGGTCCTTTTTGACCAAGAGAACCTGTAATGAGTCCTTCTGCATTCAGAGGGTGCTCTCTACCACTAGGCTAAAGTTCCTTCCATAAGAAGAGGAAATCAACAAGATAACATTTCAGTTCCCTTTCTCCCCATCTCTTCTACACACAGGAAAAAAATGGGGCAGACATGGAAAAGCAGGATTTTTGCCAAAGTCCCTGTCCTAAATCTTGCACTTTGCTTTTCATCTGTTTTCTCTGAGGGTTGCCCATATGTGGGCATGGCATGGAGTGTACATGCAGCAGGTGGAGAACTGTAACTGGGCATCTCAATAGAGCTCATTTACAATATATCCAAGACCAGCATGCAACATTTCAGCGCTAGCCTTGCAGAAGGCTAAAAGAAGGTTGATATTTCTAGGCAACCAGGTTCTCAGCACTCCCCCTCTCCTGTATTTTTTTGGGGTTGGATACATCATGCATAGAGCAGGAGCCATAATCTGACTGTGTTATTTATTTTTTAGATGTATATACTGCTTTTTTAAAAAAATTCAAAGCAGCTTACGTTTCTCCTCCTGCTCTCAATCTTATCCCTGCAACAACCCTGCAAGGTAGATTGGGCTGAGTGTCTGTGACTGGCCCAAAGTTCCTGGTTGTCTCCATGGCTGAGCGGAGACTAGAACTCAGATCTCCTGAATTCCAGTCCCACACTCTTACCCACTATACCACACTACTTACCTTTATGATGGACAGTTTGTTCTTTCCTTCAAGTGACCTGGTGTGATAGCTTCCTCTTCCCGACAGTGCCCACTTTGGTTGCCAGCAGCTAGACTGGTCTCCTCATGCATGTGGTAGAGGAGCTAACAAGGGTGGTGAAGGCAGGCCAGGCATCTCCCAGGTCCTCCCTGTTGCTGCTTCCTCCCACATTGTGTAAGCTACTGTTGCCTGGCTTTCCAGCTCTCCCTCTCATCCTGACTGCTTGGAAGGTTTTGATTTTTGGAAAGGCTGGGTAGGAGAGAGGAGCTTGTACATGTAGCATATAGTTGCAGACCCTGATCCTTTCAGTAAATAAATGAAACAAGGAAATCTTGATATGGCGGGTGACAGAGTTGACTGAAGAACCATTCTTAATTAAAAACCCTTCTATTGGGTTGTTTCCCTGTGATTGCTGGTGCTTTTTTTCTTAACACAATATGGTTTTCTTGTAATCAGGGAACGATGGCTTTGCAGCACAGTGAATTTTGCTCTTGACACTGGAGCTGGTGTCTGTGTGGGAGAGTTTGGGGGGCTGTTTGTGCATTCCTAAAAAATGTCACAGATTTCTTCTTGCTTCCTCCATTACCTGTAGATAAGTTGCTGAAGGAGCTAATCCTGCCCTTTGAGCAACGTGTGGCTCAGCTCAGTGAATTCTTGGTAGACATCAAGCCTTCCTTGCGGTATGAAATCGTCCCACTGTTTGACTACTTTGGCCCGTCTATCACAGACTCCAACCTGAAGTGCATTGTCGTCAGTGAGGAGACCCTTAAAGGTGGTCTGGCGGTCAACAAGAGGAGACTAGAAAACGTAAGTGTGCTGTGAGCCACTATCCATACTAGAAGACACTCCTTCCCTTGCAGCCAGATTCCTTCATTCACGGAGAAATTTGATTGTGATAGACTGCCACCAATAGACTGATCCTCCATGTGTTGATGCTCCTTTAGAAAGCCATTCTTGCTGGCGGTATTTCAATATCCTGTGGCAATGAGGATGCTGCAGTTTCTAACCATAATCCTTCAGTCACTCTAGCTCTGACATTGCTGGTGGTTTTGCTTTTGTTTTTTGTTTGTTCATTTGTTTTTGGTAAAGAAAGCAACGAGTTTTGCTTAGGCAAAATGTGCACTTGAGGAAATTGTTCTGTTAGGTGAAGCAGAATAGTCCGTGTGGCTCAGCAATTTGCAGAGATGCTTGTACACTTCAACATACCTGCTCACAGATATTGCCATATTTATCATTTTGTTTTGGGATCCAAGTGGCTCATGTATTACACATTGATCTGTGGTTCAGAGCCATCCAGAATACTCATCAGATCATCCAGAGGCCTATTTTTTTGGGACTCAGTTCTGTAAGGACATTTTGCAACATGCTTGCTTTACGCTTGCAGTACATGATAATATGAACAGTGAACATTAATGATCCTGCCAGGGTTGAACAAGATGGCTTTTGGGTCTTTCTCAACTATGACTCTAAGCATTGAAGAAAGCGTAATAGCACAGGCATTCCTATTGGCAGTTGGCTGTATATTCTCCCTGATCAGGGAAATTGTGTTTCTTTATCAAATTTAATAGCCACCAATAGGCTGTTTTTGTCTTTTTCTCTTAAAAATCTATACATCCTAGTAACCAAAGCAGTCAAGTGTGGAAATGAGCTCCATAAGGTTAAGTAAAGAAGTCTTTCTTCTTCCATAGGAAAGGCTTCATGGCCTTCTCTTAGGTTGCATAAGAAGGACTGGCAGTGGACCTTTTTGGAGTTTTGATGTGAACTTTTTCTTGTGTTATTATGCGTGCCTACAAGTATCAGGCCATCAGATTTAATTTACTATTTTCATTTGTGCAATCAGGCCAGGAAAGCCCATCTCCAATCACTGGGAAAAGCCTGTGGGAGTCAGTAGTAAGATTTTCAGTTCAGATCTAGAAAGACCCCACTTTAAATCCCAATCAGTCACGAACAGGAGTAATGTGTAATATTTGTTTTTTTGTTTGTTTGTTTGGAGAACTTATATGCCACCCCATTTGTATAAGCCTTGGGGCGGCTTCCAAACATAAATAAATATAAATGATACAATTACATAAACTATTGGAGACATTCTGGTGAGAAATTATTAAAATCAATAAATTAAGTTAACAATTAAAATAACGTTTAAATAAAAAGGTCTTGGCCTGGTGCCGAAAAGCAAATAACGATGGCACCAGGCGGATCTCTCTGGGGAGCGCGTTCCATAAGTTGAGCACCACCGCAGAGAAAACCCTCCTCCGGGTACTCACCCTCCTAATGTCTTTCATGGAGGGTTCCCGGAGAAGGGCCTCCCCCGCTGATCTCAAGGGGCGGGAGGGCATATATGGACATAAGCACTTCTTTAGGTAACCAGGTCCCAAGCCATTAAGGGCTTTATAGGTAAAAACCAGCACCTTGAATTGGGCCCGGACTTCAATGGGGAGCCAGTGAAGCTGACAGAGGACTGGAGTTATGTGAGCACAATGCCCAGTCCCTGTCAGAAGCCTGGCAGCTCTATTTTGCACCATCTGAAGTATCCGGACCATCTTCAAGGGCAGCCCCACATAGAGTGCGTTACAGAAGTCTAATCGGGAAGTATCCAATGCGTGTGTCACTGTCGCCAGGCAATTGAGTCTGGTCTTGTATGAATAAATGTAGGTACAGAGGGGTATGTGAAGTACTAGTTCCCTTATACTAAGCACTAGTCTCACCTAGGGTACCTTGTCTGGTTCTAGGCACCTAAGCTTTTAAAAGATGCAGAAAAGCTAGAAAGGGTACAGAGGAGAGCAGCAAGGATGATTTAGGGACTGGAAGCAAAGTCCTGTGAGGAAAGATTGAGAGAACTAGGCATGTTCAGCCTCAAGAAGAGAAGACAGGAAGATTATGATAGTGCTCTACAAGTACCTGAAGGATCTCACAAAGAGGAAGCACAAAATCTCTTCTCATCCATTCCAGAGTGCAGGACGTAGAATAATGGACTTAAGTTAGAAGAAACCAGATTTAGACTAGACACCAGGAAGAATTTCTTCACTGTTAGCATGTTACAACATGCTAATGGAATGTTAGCTGGGGAAGTTGTGGGCTATCCCTCACTTGAGACATTCAGAAAGTGTCTGGACAGTCATCTGAGTGGGATGGTGTAACAGTGTCCTGCAATAGCAGAGGGCTGGACCTGATGGCCGCCTTGTCCCTTCTACCTCTGTCAGTCTATGATTCTATATTTATATAAGATTGTACTGATGCACTATGAAAGTTTTTAGAGAGTAGGAAAGGCAGAATGAGAAAGGCAGCCTAGCTTCATCCATTTCCGTTCTTTCTTTGCTATTCCAGAATCTCCCTGAGCTGGCTCTCCACGAAATCCTGCTTGCCCTTGATTTCCAGCATGCCAGAAATGAGGAAGAAAAGATCAGCTCCTCTAGCCTACGGTACAGGCTACTTGGGACTCTGCTGCGTTCCCCACAAGTGAGTAATACAATATGGTAATCCATTCTGTAGGTTATGTCTTGTATTGCAGCAAGGTGTGCATGTCTCAGAATGAATGGCTTTCCTAGAGCATGTGCACACTGCAACCCTGTACTTGTCCACACAGAAGTAAGTTGCTTTGGGTTCAGTGGGACTTGCTCTACTTACGTGTGGTATAGGAATGCAGTCTTGGCTGTGAGAATGAACATGAGAAAAGGGATGTAGTGCAAATGGCAGATGCCAGTTAGCAGCCACTAAGGCCATTCCTGGCAAGCAGCTTTATGTATGGCATACTAGTTAGCATGGTATTTCAGCCAGCAGAGCCAGACTCTCTGGAAATAGAGAATAGCATGGAGGACTGGAAACACATTATTTATTTAGAGGTTCACATGTTGGCACGCCTTTCAGTATTATACTGGTGCTGCAGAAATAACCCACGGAAAATGACTGCTATGCCCTGGCTGTAATTTATGAAGGACACTGCTCTCAGAATGTTGGAGGTGGTCTGAGAATGAGTAAGGATATAGAATGTTTTTCATTGAGTCTCTGTCTTTCTCCTTTCCCTAGAAAGACCCATCTCTTCCTCACTATCCCTACATTATTGGGCTAACAGGAGGATCTGGTAGTGGCAAGAGCTCCGTAGCACAACATTTGGTTCATCTTGGTGCCTTCCATTTGGATATGGACAGTCTAGGACACAACATCTATGTACCAGGAGGTCCTGTGTATGAGCAGGTGGTAGAAACATTTGGAGCAGGTATTTCTGACTTCTGTGGGCACAATACTTAAAAGTCAGAGTAGCAGTAAGCAAATTGTCATCAGGAATTTTGCCCAAACAGTCTTTGGCTTCTTTGTCCCCTTGAGTCCCTAGCTCTTAGCCTTGAAATTATGCAGGGGGCTAAGCAACTTGAGTTTTCCCTTTTCTTTCAAGTGTTGCACTGTTCAGCAACATTCTCTTGCTGAGCGTTTACCCTGAGCACTAAGGAAGTCTGCATGAGTGTGAGTGAGGGAAACTTGTTATTTGCTGGTAACAAGCAGACTGAACTGGATTTTATAACTTGGTACAGGGGTACCTTGGCTCACGAATGCCTCAGTTCACAATCAAATCGGGTCACAAACAAAAATTTCATTAAAATTTTGAATCCGGTCGCGAACTCCGCATTGGGTGGCGACCGCAATCGTGGCCATCTCTCCACCACCTCCCCGAGTAGGGAGATGGCTGCGATCGTGCTGGTGGCGGGGGGGAGATGGCCGAGATTGCGCCCATCTTTCCTGCAGGACCACAACTGCAATCTCAGCCATCTCCACCCCCAGCACGATTGTGCCCATCTCTCCCCACCCGAGCGCGCCTGCGTTCATGCCCATCTTTCCCCTGCAGCGTGCCCGCATTCGCGCTTGTGTCTCTCCCCCCAGCATGCCCACATTTATGCCTATCTCTCCCCCCTCGCCCAGTGCACTGGGATGATGGGCGCATGCTGGGGTGGTGGGGAGATGGCTGGGCTCATGCTTGGTGTGTGTGGTGGGGGAGGGGCGCGGAGATGGCCACGATCTTTGTTGTTCTTTGTCACTTTGCTTCTTCACATTTTTCTGATTAAAAAAAAAAATAGTTACAGAACGGATTAACCTCATTTACATTGAACCTTATGGGGAAATTTAATTTGGCTCCTGACCAATTTGGGTCATGACCAGAGTCCTGGAATGGATTAAGTTCATGAGCCAAGGTACCACTGTATATGTGTACAGCTACTGCTTTATGTATGGGAATGTTAGCTGCTCTGTGGATTCCAGAGAAAATACTGCCATGGCTGATCCCCGGGGCCGTTCTTGACCTGGAAGAGTCAGCTGGTAGACTCCTCTGCATTGCATATGCTAAAATGGTTCTGTGCAAGCACCCCTATATGGAAAGTTTGTAAACTATTGCACCCTAAAAACCTATCTTTTTCTAATATCTTTTTCACAAGGGACTGCTTATCCTGCTACTATCTTTAAGGCTGCCCTGTGTTAGTAATCATAAGCATAAAGAATCCCCCCAACCCCACTCAGTAAGTACAGTGGGACGTAGTCTGATGAGCTGAGATTTAGCACCATCCAACTCCAACAGGCACATAACCTTTGAAGGCTCTCCTGTCCATTGATGGTGGGGAAGCTGTGTAGATTTTCTTCTGGACTGTGTTCAGCAGAAGTTTTCTTACACTGAATGCTGAGCTGCATCCTCCTCCTCACTTTTTCAGATATTTTGAAAGAAGATGGAACCATCAACCGACAGGTCTTGGGGGCCAAAGTATTTGCAGACCAGGTAACACTGCCTGGGCTTGGGGTCAATATTTAACTTAAGTCGTCGTGTCCCTCCCCTTGCAACTGGCCATCATTTGTTTTGTTCACCTTTGTGCCTCTGACGCTAGCTTGCCTACTTAATGCAGCCCTTTCACCTCCTTTCTCAGTATATGTTCTGCTATGAGTGTGGGTGAAAGGTACAGAACTGGGACCAAAGCCTGCAGGGACAATCTCTCACTGCTCAGTAAGTGCAGTCTGACCGTTTGCCCGAGAGCTGCACTACTAGAAGCAGTGCATGCTGTGATGCAGGGCCTACCATTAAGCAGAGTGAGGTGGCAACTTCAGGCAAATATCACTGAATGTATCATTCCTGTGTTTTTACTGCCAGGGAGTGGGTAATGGTGCTGTAGATTTTTTGTTCCCCTGCCTCAGGTGCCACAATAATTTGGCTGGCCTTGGATAGCAAGAGTGGCATTTGCTGCTTTGCCTCAGCATCTTAAGCTAACCCACCCTCTAGGATGCTCCCCCCCCCCCCACACACACACACACACACACACTCTGGTGGAGTACAGCCTATTCCAAACCAAAGGACTTTTGTTCTGGGCATTGGTGTATGTTTTGATTCAACCCATTTGGGCTGGAGCCCATATCTTGGGGTTCTCCCGTTTCTTTTGTGGCTAGCAGGCACGTATCACCAGGATAACGTCCTTTTCAAGTCTGTTTCATTTCCTTCCTCCCAGGAGCAGTTGAAACGTCTCAACAATATCATGTGGCCAGTGATGGCTCGAATAGCAAAAGAAAAGATAGGCGAGGCAGCTGCAAAGGGTGAGGAGGGGCTTGGGAGCTTGGGGAGAGTTGTGGGCTTTCCAAGTGGGGCTTTGGACATGTGAATGGCTGCTCTACAAGAGCCATCCCAGATGTTTGCGTAAAACAGAGCACAGCTGCTAAAGCAGCTTCCCTTGTTATGCAATGATAAAGCATGCTGGTGCCAGCATATATGTCCAAGTACTACCCTCAGTGAATTTGAACAGTTATGACAATAACTGCATGGATAAATGCAGAGGGCTTTCTAGCCCTTCTCAGTGGAGTGAAAACTTGGACAGGCAGGGCCACATGCTCTGGTCCTGCCTTTGCAATGCCCACTAAGCTCTGCCACACCTTTGCCGACTGTGCAAAGGGTGTGGGAACAGTGATATTGGAACAGAGGCTGCCCTGGTGGCTTTGCTGTCCCTTCTGTGACAGAGCAGTGTGTGGGGCTGCCATAGCAGTGAGGGAATGCAGAACATTGTGATGTGACATGGGGAGAGTTCTTCCAAATGCAGTGGGAGAAGCTAAAAATACAGTTGTTGTGTTGTAGCATCTCATTTTCTCTGAGAAGTCTATGCTGAGGGTAACCTGACAAAAACCATGTTCAGACATAACAGTGAGCCACGATTCTGACATATCCTTGATCGCTGAGAGCTAGAGCAGTGTGGTGGTGAGAGGGTTGGACTGGGGGTCTGGAAGGTCTGAGTTTTAGTCCGCACTCTGCCATGAAGCTCTCTGGGTGACTTTGGACCAGTTGCTCACTCCCAGCTTAACCTACCTCACAGGGTTGTTGTTCTGAGAATAAAATGGAGCCATGTAAGCTGCCTTGCATATTGAACAAGAGCCAGAAAGGCAGGACTTAAATGCAGTATAGTAATAGTAATAATTATAATATTGCAAATAAGCAGCATACTGGCTCGCACAACCTCTCTGTCTTTGTTATATTCCTCCTGCTCACATGAACAGGCAAACAAATCAGAAATTGATAGTTTATCTTGCTATTCAAACTGAGAATTTCAGTTTTTTGCTCCTAATCAAGCCAGGATTGATAAGTCAACAGCTCCTGTCTTGTTTGTGAGCAACCAGTAAGGGTCCTGGCTTCAAGTGCAGCGTTAAACTCAGTGCTCCATTTCTGGTGTGCTTGCTCACTTGCCTGAGCAGAAGCAAAGTAGGAATGAGCAGGCTACACGCACCATGCCATTTACAATAAACCAGGTGCCCTCACTTATTGCTATATGCAACTGTGGCCCAAGTGTCCTAGGTTCTACCTCTCTGCCCTCTGCCATTAGAAACTTCTCAAAGCTGTTAATGCCTGATTTGCAGGAAAGAAGGTGTGTGTGTTGGATGCTGCCCTGTTGTTGGAAGCAGGCTGGTCAGACATGGTGCATGAAGTCTGGACAACCATCATTCCTGAGGATGAGGTAAGTCCTGTTTCCTTTGTGTCAGTCCTGCAAGCGGAGCCGAGCATCTCCCTGCAGCCTCTTGCTTAGCATTCAGTGCATGACATTTGTGCCCAAAGCAGCAGCAGGCGCAAATCGGTTGTAATGATAGTTGTTGATGCTGTTGATGCTTTCAGTTGCGACAGAACCTTGTCTAGGCAGAGTCTGTTTAAATCTCAAGAATGTATATGCTCCTTCTCAAGACTAAGGACAACACCAAACATGTTTCTCTTCTTACGCAGAAAGCACAGCTGTGCAAAGAAAACTTGAAAATTGTATTTACATCATCCCATATGGTGACCATATGTGCTAGATTTTCATTGCATAGACATATGACATACACAGGCTAGCTTTCAGAGGCACATACATACAGTGAAATACTCTCTGTCTTTCTTTTAGAATGTTTCTGTGCTGCTTTTCATTAAAAAGAAAACCAAATCAGGTCACAAATAAAATCATCGTGATTATGTAATTTTGCTTATTTTGCTTTCCTTTAAACTCAAAGTGGTTTATAATTTCAATAAAACTTAATACACCAAAGATTACAAAATGCAATCCACAAAACAGCATCATATAATGAAAGATCACAACTAAATAATAGCACTGCAGTTCACTCTAAAATCAGCAAAAAGCTCTTGGGGGGTTACAATATAGCCCTTGGCCAGCCACCTGAGCATGGGTAATGGCAGGGCTTGGTGCATCATTTTGAGAGCACATTCTCTAAGTGTGGCTCCACCACTGAAAAGACCATGCTTTCAGGTGGTCATTCACCAGGTTCATGTGGCAACAGCACCCACGTAATTGATTGTCACATGCGACCAACCATTCGCACTCCAAGTAACTGAATTTAGTTAATTCAGTTACTATTCTGTACTTGCCTGTGGGTTCAGTGTGGATAACATGGTTAGAAAGAAAGAGCTGCATCAAAAAGGCTCAGGTGGGCATTGTGAGCCAGAGTGCTTTCCTGGTGGCCCAGCTGTGCCCCTCTCTGGACTGGAACACCCTGGCATCAGTAATTTATGCTCTGAAAATCTGTAAACTAGATTACCACAATGCACATTCTGTGCATTGAAGATGGTTCAAAAGCTGCAGCTCGAGCAGAATGTGGTGGCCAGATTAATAGCTGGGCCCTGTAGGTCCAGACATAGAAAATTGGTTCTGCCCTGCTTGCATTCACTGCCTGTGTGCTTCTGGTCCCAATTCAAGGTGCTGATTTTAACCTATCAAGCTTTACAAGGCTTAGGATCCCAATACCTGTTGGAACACTTCTGCCAACCACAATATACTCGAACACCATGCTTAACCTCTGGGGCCTTCCTCTGAGAGCCGACTCCGAGGGAAGAGCCAAGGTGACACCAAGGGGAGGGCTTTCTCTGTGGTGGTCCCCCAGCTATGGAATAACCTCCCCACTGCAGCTTGGCTCACACTGAATCTGTCATCCTTTCACCGCCAGGGTAAGACAGCCCTTTTCTCTGAGGCCCTTAGGGACTTGCTTACCCACCCAGGGGCTCGAGGGGGATCACCAGGTGCTTTTTTAGAGTCATTCTTTTGCTATCATGTCATTGTCTGTTTTTACCTGTTTTAAACTTTTTATTTTTTTTCTGAGTCTATGCAAATGTTTCATCTATTTTTATGGACTGTTTAGCCCGCCCAGAGAGCTTCAGCTGTGGGGCACTATAGAAATGACATGAATAAATGCAAATAAGATTGCCTGGCCAAAACAAGAGTAATTGCAATTCCAGAGTGACCTGATACCCTAAAAAATGTCTTTTTGTCCAGAGCCTAACTACCTGCTTTTTACTGAATTTGCTACATGGCTTATAGCAGGTGCTCTCAGTTTAGGGTAAAGGGGAAAACATGGTTGAAAGCAACCTTCCCAAGCTGATGCTCCCCAGCTGCTGTTAGTCTGTAACTTCCATAATTTTCAACCAAGCCATGCTGGCTGGGAGTTATGGGAATTGCAGTCTACCACATCTGAGAGTACTAGCTTAGGGAAGGGTGGACTAAATTGCTTTATAAGTTATCACAAATACCTCGGGAGGTCTGTCTTCTTCCACATGATCCTGCCTGACCACACTGTTAATCAGAGACTGTGTCCCACATCCCACACCTGCCAGAAATTCAGCTGTCTGGAATATGGGCTTGGGCTTATTCCAGTTTGTATAATTCCCTTCCTCTGAAGCCTGGTTAGCCCCTTCCTCAGTGACTTTTGGCCTCAGGAATCAGTGGGAGGACAGGGCCTTTTTCTTACTGTTGCTCCTGCTGTAGAATTGTGTTTTAAATGCTCCCCGCCCTTGTAGCTCCTTCTACATTCTGTTCACTGAATTATGTTACGCTTTAAATTGAGGTAGACCAGATTTGGATGATGCAAGTCAAAAAACATTTATAAACATACACGTGTGCACCCCTTCAGCTGCATCTGAAAGATGAGAAGGAGCTGATGCAGATGACAGAGCAGGGATAATGTACTAACACTGGCACACACTCTTGCAGAGATGAGAGCTGCTCTGTTCTTTACTAACTGAAGCTTCTGGATAGTTACCAAGGGCCATCCAGCCCTAGAGTGCATGATAGTAATCAGACCTCAAATTATCTACACACGTCTGTTTTGCTACACATACATGGCAATGAAATACATTTGTGTTTAATAAGTTTGGAACATCTGTGTATTTCCTAGGCCATAAGACGCATCAAAGCCCGAGATGGTCTAAGTGAGGAAGCTGCCAGGTTGCGTCTACAAAGCCAAATGTCCAACAGCCAGTTCGTGAAGCAGTCTCATGTGGTTCTTTGCACCATGTGGGAGCCAGAGGTTACCCGTGAACTGGTAAGAAGCAGCCGCTGCTGTTGGAAACAGCATCCTACCAGTGTCTTCAGCAGCCTGTCCCTTGAGTCCTGTCCCTTGATGAATACATGTCTGTCCCTTCTTTACAGGTAGAAAAAGCTTGGGCCCTGCTGCAGAAACGCCTCAAGGACAAGTAGAGCCGGGAATTGAAATGGGACCACCTCTTCACTCTGCAGCTTCAGCGCTACCAGTCTTGAAAAGTGCGCACCAGATGAACCACACCCTGTCGAAGGGGCGCGGATGAGGGTGGCGATATGGGAAAGGGAGTTCAGCCTGCTTGATGGTGTTGGGGAGCAGAAAGAGCAGGATTCACTCTGCTTTTTTCCTGCTACAGAAAGTCTGTGGGAGACTCATGAACAAAGTGGGAACCAGGGGTGCCTGCAGAGCTGGAAGAATCCACGTTTGTACCTGAAGCCAGCAATGATTGCATGATTCTGATGGAGGCTACTCTTTCAGTTATGCTACTTATACAAACAGACAAAAGATTGTGAGGGTGGGGAGTGGCTGCTCTACTTTGGTCCCCACTACTCTGTACTACATGCCCTGTGCATAAAATACACATAAAAAATCTTGCCAGCTCTGTGTCTGTGTGCTTATGGCCACCTGTACACCTGGTGGAGACCTCTCACCTGTTCCTCAATGGATAACTTGCTTTTCTCTCATCAAGGGATGGTGATTTGAGCTAAGTAAACAATCCAAAGCAAACTTCTAATGTGATTTTCTTTAAATGCTATTGCTCAATTAGGGGGTTTGGGGGCATTTTGGACAAGTTTCCCAGTAATATTTGGATACAGAAGTTTTAGAAACAAAAAAGAAATTTACCAAGCTGAATCTGAAGTGATGATATTTGCAGTTGTCTTAAAATCTTAATAATTTAATAACCTATTTTAATTCCTTAAACTAAATTTGTAATCAACATTTCAAAATGTATTTTGAAAAAAATAGTTCTAGTGCAAAAACAACACAGTTGTCTGAAGGTGTCCAGTACATGATGAGCTACAAACCTAGTCTAAATTCTACAGCAATGTATCTACTCACTATATATAATTAGTCTGAAAACAGCCAAACTGCAATAGTTTGCCCCATTACACTGGGCGAAGTGTAATTTTCAGTAAGAGACTGATAGTTTCTTTCAGCAAACAGTTTTCAACTTTATGACTGAAAGTGTTACCCAGTTTGCATGTGAAGTGACCCCAAAGCCTTGCAGAAGATTGCCTCCATAGACTGATGTGACCTGCTGGTGCAAATAGTGGGAGAAAGGTTAGTTTCGTAACAGATTAGATCCCGTAAAACTAGTTTTGGGATAGGCAACCTGGTGTCCTCTATGTGTTTTGGACTACAACTCCCGTGAACCTGAGCCAATATGGCAAATGGACAAGGTCTATGGGAGCTGTAATCCAAAACATCAGGAGGGCACTGGCTGCTGGATGTGGGGGAGGTTGTTTCCATAGCTCTAAGCCACAGAGTTCTAACCTTCCTGAGGCCTGGATGATTCAGATTTGGTGGCAGGGAACCAGTGAGTTCAGTATAAGGGAATCACGTGACGGAGAGAAGGGTAATTTCCAGTTGCAGTAACAACCACAGAATTGTCTCAGGAGCCCTTTGCCCAGAAAACCTCTGCTTTTGATGCCGATGCGTACAGTTTCTTCACTTCCTTGGACACAGTTTCCACTTCTCTCTTCAACTCCCCTGCCACCCCACACTTTCTTCATGATCTGCTTACCCTTACTACAGTGTACGGATACAGCCCACTGCTTCCCTCGTCAGATTAATCAGTGGTCTGCTGGCTTCCTTTGTAGCACATAGTGTGACCCGCTTGTTGTTGTTAGTCGCGAAGTCGTGTCCAACCCATCGCAATCCCATGGACAACATTCCTCCAGGCCCTCCTGCCCTCCACCATCCCCCGGAGTCCACCTAAGCTCATGTCAACCGCCTCAGTGACTCCATCTAGCCACCGCATCCTCTGCCGTCCCCTTCTTCTTTTGCCATCTATTGTTCCCAGCATTAGGCTCTTCTCCAGGGAGTCCTTCCTTCTCATTAGGTGGCCAAAGTATTTGAGTTTCATCTTCAGTATCTGGCCTTCTAAAGAGCAGTCAGGGTTGATCTCCTCTAGGACTGACCGGTGTGATCGCCTTGCAGTCCAAGGGACTCGCAGGAGTCTCCTCCAGCACCACAATTCAAAGGCCTCAATTCTTCGGCGCTCAGCCTTCCTTATGGTCCAACTTTCAAATTAATTAGTGGTCTACTGCCTTTCTTTGTAGCACATAGTGTAACCCACTTGCTTGGTGGTAATACTTGCTGCCATTCTTTAGCTGTCCAACATCAGCAATTACTTTGGGGAACACAGTTCAGTGGCAGGTCTCTTGTTCATTTGTGGGCCCTGCAGTTGCCTGGGTGTACAAAAGCTCAATGCTGCATGGACCCTCCCCAACCAGGGTACAGACTGCAGAGGAGTGTGGAGCAAGCTAACTTTTTTTCTAACTTCATGCTTTTCTCAAGGGCATCATTTCCACCCTGTGATCCTTCTGCATTATGTGTGATGATGCTGGATTCCTTTCTACAGTTCTTTTTTATGACCGTATCTGTCCCACTTCCACCCACTGCCAGCAGCAATTGGAATCAACAGTTTCTGGTTTTATCTGGTATCACCAAACCGATCTGGATAGTCTTCTGTTTTGCCAAATTGCCTTTCTTTTGCCAGCCTGCTGGGTGTCATGCTGGCAATAGCAGAACAGTTTAATACAATTATTTTTGCTTGTTAGGGTCAGTTGAAGTTCCTTCCATTAGAATGAAGATAGAGCAGAAAGCTCCAAGCAAGATGGGGAACCTCCAAGCCAACCATTTCCAACATCACACATGCACACAATCTTTCTGCTCCTTTGCTTCATCTCTCCACCCCACCCCTTGGATTCTCCTTCACTGTCTCTGCATGATATGATATTCCTGGAACATCCCATGAAGCTGGTAGTGGGAGATTCAGAACAGATAAAAGGAAGTACCTGTTCACTTAGCACATAGCTAAACTATGAAATTCACTTCCACAAAATTGTTCTGATGGCCACCAGTTCGGATGGCTTTGAAAGGAGATTGGGCAATCCATGGAGGAAAAGGCTACAGATGGGATCTGGAGTAAAAGCATCCTATACAGAATCCCTCTTTGTAGTCCCTTGTGTGCTACCTACATGCTGCATGTAATCCCTGAATGAATATCTGAATAACCTGTAAATGCTTTTTTGGTTGCACACCCCTAGCTTACCTGTGTTCACTGTCTCTTAACACTTCTGATGTTACCAACACAAACTTGTGTGGGGAAACCAAACTGAACTGTGCTGGATGCTTTTATAACCTATTAGTCACAAAGAGTTTGCAGGGGGGGTGGTGAGATCAGTTTGCAAGAGGCACATGAGTGTGGAAACAAAAGGGTTTAAATCAAAGAGGAAGAAGTTTCAGGACCAATATTAGCATATCTATGCTAAGGAAGGTAAAGAACAAGGCCAACCACTGGGTTTCCTGACCAGATTATCAGTTTAAAACTGTTGTCAGTTCCAGGCATTGTATGGCCATAATATGGCAGAGCATTGGCTCATTTAGTCCTGACAGTGACTGCTAGTCCTGTTGGCATTATGCTGTCTTCTGTATAAGAGGCCATATCCTATGCACACCAGTTGTTGGAGAACCTGGGTGTGAGGGTTTTCTTACACCTGCTTGTGGGTTGGCCCCTGGGTGAATGTTGGACTAGATTGACTGATCCAGCAAGGCTTATGCAACACAGTCTTTGCTCATCCAAATAGTTCCAGTTTCGTCCTGACATCTTCTGACCTTCCAGAGCACTTCTACCTTCTTCAGAAGCCTTTGCTCCGCTTTATATTTACTTGTTGTCCACAGTTCCTGGAATGCCATGGAGGGAGAGGCACTCCAGGATCTCAAGGCAGAAGCTTTACTAGAGCATGCTGAGAACACTCAAGATCTGATATTTAGTGCATTCTCTCCCCAAATTTCTCTTCAAAGTTCTGACTGGTTGTGCTTTTAACAGCAAATGGATAGTCAAGTATTTAGCAGAGGAACTTTCCCAGAGAGGTGAAAAGGGAGCCCTGTTGAAGTTCTGCTTGTCACACAAACAGACTTTCATATGTATGAGAGTCATGTCAGACAATATGGTGACCTTCCCACTAAATCAGCCCAGCCAGTTCCCAATTCACACATACAGGGAAGGCATACAAAACAGGCTGAAGTAACAATTTTAGAACTAAAGGTTTTAGAGGGTAACCACATTTGTCTTTAAGATGCTACAGGGCTCATTGCTGTGATGGATTAACAATATTTAATGTGCCATAAGTTTTTTTTCAAATGCATCTAATCTACAGAAGCTTGTACTGCAATAAATCTGCTAGCATTTAAGGTATGCATTTAAGGCGTATTCTGAGTTGGAGCTCATAACAAAAGCCACTGAAGATAAAATTGTCAGTATCATACTGCCCTTCTACACATCTAGGGTGTGCCCACACTTTGAATGTTGTGTACAGCTCGTCATCTCACCTGAAGAATTATATAATAAAACTAGAAAACTTTGGAGAAGAGCAACCAAACTGATTAAGGAACTGGAACAACGTTCTTTACGACGAGAGATTACAATTACAGTAGCTTAGAAAGGGTGAATAAGACTAGTGGAAGGAGGAATGTGAGAAGTATATAAAATTATGTATGCAGTGAAGAAAGTTTTCCTGCTTATATAATACTAGAACCTGGGGTCATCGGTTAAGCTGAATTGCTGCAGATACAGGACAAGGAAATGCTTCACACAGTGCTGAGTCCACAAGATGCAGTGATGAATGGATTTAAAAGGCAATAGGACAAACTGATGGGAGGATAAGGCTATCAGTGATTACTTCTTCTAATCTATATCACTCTACTGATTCATTCTGTTCCTGTTACTATACTGATTACTGATACCTTCAGTTTCTCAGACAGTGTGACTCAAAAACCATTACTAAAGAACATTAAATGTTGGATCCAGCACAGTTCTTCTTAAAATCACATAAGGAAGCATAAGAAAACAGAAGAAACTTTCTGCATTGTGTATACTGTACTTTAAAAGTGTGTGTGTGTGTGTGTGTGTGTGTGTTTGATGTTTTGCTAAAAAACTGGAGGACAGGTTCTTGAAGGACACCGTATACCCAAGTGCTTTCACCTTATTTCTCTATCCACTACCCTCATACTATTTCATGAAGATCAGAGCAGTAACTAAGCCATATGTTTGCCATTTGAGATCTTGACTCCACTTCCCCCCAAAGTGATTTCCCACAGTTCAGTGGCAGAGCAGATGCTTGGACCACATAAGATCCTGAGTTCATTCCTGGTGTCTTGTTAAGTAAGGCTCCACCAGGAGTGAGAAGACATGCAGCGGAGCACCCAGTAACGCTGGGCTCTTGCACTTCTAATTGCCTTGCCTGAGTTGTGAAGGCAGTAAGACTTCAAAGACAATAAAATGGTGTCGCACTAACTAATTTATAATAGCAGGAGCTCCCTGAGGTGGCGGAACCTTTGATGCCATTACTTTACAGGGTGTGAAGAGCTAGTGGGAAATGGAAGGAGGTGTGTTTCACACTTTGGAGAAGCAGAGGGCCATGATATTTCCTCCCAATCAAGTCCTTCTTCCATTAAGGGGGAATTAAAGGGAGGAGGAGGAGGAGGGAGTTGACAAGCCATTGTGACTGGATTCCTTCACTCCAAGTGTATTTTGAAGCCATTGAATTGGGCTCAGATATATCACATCTAGATTAAAGCAGGCCCACTGAAAACAAAGTTAGTCAGATTTTAATGAGTCTACTCTAAGTAAATTTATACCTGGGTCTAATGCACTACATGGAAATAGGAATTCAGCTTTCTTGAAATTGACAAAAGTGGCCCACTGCCTCCTTAACATGATTGTTTTAAAGTCACCAGGTGTCATAGTCTCTCAGTCTAACCTACCTCACAGGGTTGTTGCTGTGAGGATAACCAGTAAGAGGAGAATTATGTAAGCTGCCTTGAGTGCCTTAAGATGAAAAAAGGCAGAATATAAATATAAGAAGTAAAGAAAAGTGAGGTCCTTCCCACCCATCCCAAATCCTCCCCTAGCGGTGCCATCCAGGTTCTCTTTCAAAGAAAATGGCCCTGCGCCACGGAAAGTTTCCTAAGGAGTCCGACCTGCTGCCATGTGCGCCAAGAGAGCACGAAGAGGGCGGCGCAGGGGCCGTTCCCGCCACACACCTCCCAATCCCTCCTCCCCGGTGACGCGAGACCGGCTCCGCATTAGGCGAGCCGCCGAGGTGCCCCGGACAGCCAGAGCTCCCTGGGACAGCATCGCCCAGCACGATGGCAGGAAGCGGCCGCCTGGGACAGAGCGCCGCCGCCGCCGCCGTTCGGGGGCTGCGGGAGACCGGCGTGCGCCCGCGCCGCGCAAAAGCAGCCGCGTTCGAGCAGTTGCACGGGAAGGGCAGGTAAGAACCGCGCAGAGGTAGCCCTGGCCGTGGCGATACCGAGGGCCTCCTCCTCGCCTTCACCCCCAGCCTGGTCACTCAAAAATTACTCCTGCCACAGTGCAAACCTAAATACGTTTGTCTGGGGGTAAACCCGTCTGAAGTCAATGGGATTTATTTCTCCGCATGCATGCATGCATAGGGATGCACTCCTAAGGTCTTATTTCAGCGAATCCTTAATACTGTAATTTTATGTATGGCTTCCAGAAAGAATGAACAGGGTTTACTTCCAAAGAAGTGTGCACAGGGTTGCATTCTTTGAGGGGCGCTTCCATACGCTTTCCTGGGAATAGGTTCCAAAGAATTCAATGGCACTTACTCCTCAGCAGCTGTGTATAGAACTGTATTGTTTGGTTACAATCCTGAACATAATGCCACAGTGGAACTTAATTTTGAGTAAATATGAGTATGATTACATGTAATAAATAGAGAAATCTCAATGAATTCAGTGGTGGGGCTAAAAACACTTTTTATTTTGTCTTTCCATAAAATGTGAATAGAAATATTTCTAATTAAACGAATAATTTAATAGCAAATTAAACTAACAATAATTACCATTTATTTATTTTCTTTAAACGTTAAAAACATACAAGGCACAGTACAGGCAGAAGATAAGCATTCTGATTTCACGTTTAATCCAGTGGGATTGTTATAGCCCATGCATTAATAGTGCAGTCCTTACATATCTACTCAGAAGTAAGGTCCATTGAGTTCAATGGGGCTTACTCCCAGCTAAGTGAATTCATGAATTTCAGGTACAGTATTTTTATACTACCCAACAGTCAACACTTTCTGGTTGGTTTACAGAATTAAAAGCTTTACAAATTCAATATCGTTCCTGTTATTAAAACAAATTTAGGTGCAAACGTACACATATATCCAAAACCATTTTAACAACCAACAGTAAGCCAATAAAAAGATTGCAGCCTCAATCTTTCCCATTTAAATCAATAAAAGTCCAGCCTGTTTAACCTGGATGCTGTAAGGATTGGTTAAGGGGGTAAAAGGTGTGTGCCATAATATATTTTACTTGGGCTGGACTATGACCATGTTATACACTGTTTTAGCAAAGAATGATACCAGCTCAGCACAGAGGCTGATGGAAATTGCTGGTTAGGTGGTCCTACATGACTCTCCACTATGGTCTATCATGGAGAAAGCACTCCTGAAAGACACTCCGGTCTTTTTGCCTCTGGACAAGAAGGAGCAACGGCTCTTATGGCAGCAGCTGCTGCTTCTGGGGTCCTTATTGCTTCTTTCCTTTATTTGCATACAGATTGAGTTTAACACATTGCCGACAATTAAGCTGTTATACGAACCTCCCCTCTCGGGTGCTGCAGGCCAGCCCTTCAGGTTCATCCGTGAAACAGCAGACCCGACACTTCCTGAACCTGGCGACCTCCCTTTTTGGTGCCAAGCGAGTGGAGTATGAGGAAGTCCGTCAGCTCCCGTGAGTATGCCGAACTAGCATCCTCTGCCTTAGCTCTTAACAGAGGCAGTAAGTCTGGTTCTGCCAGCACTGGGGAGCAGGAGGTGGGGGTTAGCATGATGGAAGATCTTCCAGACAGAAAAGTAACTAAGTACCCTGCGTATAGAAAACTAGCATGTCAAGGAGAAAGCTTGGCTAGCACCTGCCTTGGCATGGCATTTTCTATGTGAAGGGAATTGCAGGACATGGAAGGGCATTTTTCGCATGCTGCCAAAACGTTGTTTTGGCTTGGATGTGGGCTTATTGCTTCAGCAAGGACTAGACCTCTACTTGCAGTGCTCTGCAAATCTTAGAGGGACGTTTTGATTCCTGATGCCGGACACATGGAGTCTCCAGCTTGATGGCCATGCATGCCATCTGCGTCTGCAGGGCTCTCTTGGTGCTCATCCGGCTCCCTGTCTGTCTTGATCCTAATGGCATTTCTTCGGATTTTTAAAAATAAAAATAACTTCTTTTGTGTGTGTTTTGAACTTGGCTTGCTGCAAAACGAAGTGCTGCTGTCCAGTTCCATTATACTTTGGGTTCAAAAGAGTAGGTTCTTTGAAGAGCTTAGACCCCACGCCTGCCTTTTACTTCCTGGGAAACTTACTTTTCTTTTTGTCTCGCCAGCCTGACTTCTGGGAAGTGGGTGCTCCCTGACTAGCCATGCTCACCACAGTAGCCATTCTATGAATGGGCAAGCCCACCCTGGAAGCCATTTTGTGAAAAGTGCCCACCAGTCCAAAAAGCTTGGGGACCCTGGCCATAGCTATTCAAATGTCTCCATGTCAGGGGTGGTGGCATTCCTGAGAAGATCAAGCTTTTTGTGCGTTCCCATTTTGTCCTTCACACCTAGATGGGTCATTGCAGCTCTTCATGACTGTTACTTTTCGTTCTCTCCCAGGTACTCTGCTGACCAGATGTATAATATTGTGGAAGATGTGGGCAGCTATCACCTGTTTGTCCCCTGGTGCACCTGCTCCCGTGTAATTTCCCGCTGCAGTCAGTTCTCGCAGGCGGAATTGGAAGTGGGATTTCCCCCTGTGGTAGAGCGCTACGTCTCTGAGATTTTCGTGGTGCCTCACCATCAGATCCGGGTAAGGAAGATGAGGGACTGGACTTGTCGTGTGCTCCTGGGCTTTTAGCAGTAGCCTGGAGAGGAGATATTTAGCAAGCCATGATTTTCTTAACCCTTATCTCTCTGCCAGGACAAGCTTGCTGTGTTTATTAGCTATACTCAGGTTGCATTCTAAAAGCACAGGGGTGTGACCATTTAAAAAATTATTTTAGAACTTGCAACCCTAATCCCAGGGCAAATGATTAGCATCCTTGACAAGTTCTGAGTATGAACCATTGTGCCAGTTTAGCACCATCAATTGTGCACGAAGCAAAGAGGATCCTGAGCACGTGCAGATTTCTGGGAGTTCCATGTCCTCTGGCTCCACAGAGCCATATTCAGCCATGTAGCAATAAATTTTGAAGTGCAGGTGCTCATTGTGGCAGTCTCCAAAGCCACAATCTCAAGAACCGAGCAAATGATGCAGACAAATATGTCTGTGCATGTATACACCTGCATGTGTGTTGCTGGGAAAATTAACTACAGAGAAACGGGAAATCTGAAAAGAGCAGTTGTTCAAAAAAAGTCCAGGTGTTTCCACCCTGCAAGCCCTGGCTGCACTGCACCACCAGTCTTAATCCTGTCTGTAAAACCTGAGATCTTGAAGATGCTCTCGAAAGGGTCCATCTGCTCCCTTGACCAACATGGCTTCAAGCGTGATAGCTTCTCCAGGACAACCCTAAGAAGCATTGGCTTGGGAGACTGCTGAGTGTTCCTAGCCCTCACAGACCTTTGACTTAGCACATCGGTGGGTAACTTGTGGCCCTCCAGAAGTTGCTGAACTGCAAGCTGTCTGCTCCAGACTGAGTGTTTGTTTGTTTGTGTATTTGTTTGCCTGTGTTGCTTTTCAATAGGTTTAGAATCTGTCCTGTGGACACTCCCTGGGGTTTCTGGTTGGCAGACACATGAGGAATGCTTACAGTCCTCCTTTCTTTGTGTCAAGCATTGCTTCCCCCAACCGACACTCTTTTAGATGTGTTAATCCCCATCATCCCCAACCACTGGTGATGCTGTCTGGGGCTGATGGGATTTGTCATCCAAAACATTTGGAGGGACCCATATTGAGGGAGGCTTAGCTAAGGAGTCATCTGCACCAACTAGGATTAGTTTAGCTGTCATGTTTAGCTTCCTCCAGAGGACATGTCTTAGTGGGTACTCAGAATTAATTCCTACAATGTTTTCTATGGGAACTGTTGTTGTTTCAGCTTTAAGCCTAGCAGCTCTGTGACTCATTTCCTCTTTCTTGTACACCATCCCTTCATGTGCAAATTGGTAACATTTGGGGAGACTAGATTTCATCATGTTTTCAGGAGAATGTCTGCCTTACAACAGGATTTGTCAGTGGACATATGAAACAACAGCAGCAGCAGGCGCTGGTGACTTTGTCAGAGCTAAAAGTGGTTCTCCCTCTCCCCCTTGTCCCAGTCACAACAGTGTTTATGCTGAGAGTGTTTAGACTCACTGTGATGAGTCTAAACTCACTGTTTAGACTCACAGCAGATCAAGTGATGATCTGCTGTGTTGAAATTCTGTATGTGGCGGATTCAGACATTGCCCATCTCTTACTCCCCTTCACTGGATTCTGTTGCATCCTGAAATCCCAGTAGAGGCTTGTAGCCTTCCCTGAGAGGTATCAGTTTCAGGGACAGGGCTTGGTTTACTTTGGTGGAGGCAGCAATGGGAATTTAGTGTTCTTGGAATCTTTACTTGATTTACAAATAAATATGAAGAGCATAAATGGAGGCAAGAAGAATGCATGCTCCTGGCAGGCAACTGAACCACTTCGCCAGGTCAAATCCCTGGCAGGAGATCCTGGCATTTGTTACTGGGTGTCTTCAGCTCACAGCTTCTTACCTCTTAGGGTGGCCGCTGGTTGTATAAGGCAGAGGACAGGTCTCTGTTTGAAGGCAATTGCTACTGGGGGGTGGGGGTGGGGTGGGGGGGCTGTGAGTCCAAGCCTGGTTGAAAGGCACCAAGTTGTAAGAGTGGGAGAGCAGCAGGACCCCCAAGTTGCCTACCCACAGAGGGCACTTGGACAGCAAGATCAAGAACCATGCAAGTCACGTGAAATTCTTCCCCATTCATCATAGTGTGAAGAGCTGTATTTCCTTTTAAGTTGCAGTAACAGTCTAGACATAGCAGTGGCAATAGCAGCAACAGCTGTTATGGCTCCTACCACCAAAGAAGGTGGGAAATGTTGCTCCAATTTTATACAGAATCCACAAAATGGGGCCTTTGAGGGTACTTTGAGAAAAACTGTTTCATGACAAGACATTTATTGCCAAAGACTCCAATGCATATACAGATGTATATATTTCATGCTATTACAACACAAACCCATACATTTCTACCCCAAAGTAAGTCCCATTGAGTTTAACTATGTTACTTGAACTGCTGTAAACCATCCAGAGAGCCTCAGCTATTGAGTGGCATAGAACTAAATAAATAGTAGTATTAGCATTTCTAGTATTATTGTTTATAGAACTTTAAAGGATGGCATCTGTGGTGTTTTTCGGACTGCAAACTTAATTTCTGTTGGGTTGAATGGATCCAACACTTTTCCTTTAGCCTAAAATGTCCAGCAGATATAGATAAGAAATCAGTACTGAATAATTAGCCCTTTAAGTTTTCCTTCACCATAAAAGTGATGATTATAGTGAGAAATTACAATTTTGTCCTTGTTTGGGTCATTTACATTTGCTGCAATGTGGCACAGTGGTTAGAGTGTTGGACTGGGTAGCAGGAGGCTCAAGTTCTAGTCCCAATTTGGCCATGACACTTATGGGATAACTTTGAGCCAGTTGCTGACCTACCTCACAGGGTTGTTGTGAGCATAAAATGTGCAGGAGGATTTCACCATCCTGTGTAAAATAAGGCACCTGGCTACTCTTATCTCCTTAGGTGGCATGATGGTATATGCAGCTCTGGTTGGTGTTACTGGGGAGGGATAGAGCAGTAGCCACCCTGTGGTTTCTGAGAAGCTTGCCAGATATTGAACGATTTCGACACGTAGAGTTTCTGACTGGACCTTGTTATGCTGCTGCAGATGTTAAAGCCAAATAAGCTTTACTCTGATGTTTAGGTCATGCAGTCACGTTGCATGAGCAAGCAAGTGGCTGTGGCATGTGCTTGTTCACCTCCCCTGCATCCCTATGGCCTGGCCTCACTGCTTTTTTACGTGTCGAAGGAGAACTAAAGGGGAGAGGTTACTCGTCTCACATGCATGCTCTCGGTGACCCAGGACCTCGATCATGAAGGGGTTAACCTTCGTTGCCAGTTGCCCTCTGTCTCGAGGGCATGAAAACTTGCTTGCTCTTGCTTCAGCACAAGGAAGATCCCAAGGGAAGATAGTGTCTTTTCTGTTTGAACTGATTTCACAATGGTGGTGCTAACACATGCTGGTTTTGTCCACTTTTCAGGTTATGAGTAAAGATGGGCGGCTATTTCAGCATCTGGAAACCCTGTGGCAATTCCAGCCAGGACGATCGGGAAAGCGGGAAACCTGCACACTGAAATTTTATGTAAGCACTCTTTCTGCTTCAGCTCCTGCGGGGTGGGGGTAGGGGGGGACTTCTAAGCCAAGAGAATGTGTGCTAAGAGGTGCGAGTTTGCAAAATGTCATTTCATCATGAGCTCAAAGGTTTGGTGCAGGCTGAGGGTTTTATTGTAAACCTGACTTTAATTGATTAGCTTGCTTCATGTTTGCTATATTGAAATATTGTTTGCTTGGCAGGATAGTGAGTTTGTTTTTTTAGCAGATACCATTATGATCAGTAGTTAGAAATCTTACTCAGTCACCTGCTTGACTTCGACCCACTATATTTGAAGTATATTTCGCTACCACAAGAACTAGAAACCTGCTTTTAAAAACTCACACCTGATCTCACAAAACTGAAGTTTGCACCTTGTATTACACATTCTGCCTTTTTGTGCATTTCTGCAGAATTGTAAAATACATTCAGCTTTACATTTGTCATTTCAGAATCAAATTTAATAAATCTGCCACATGTTAGATCTGTACTGGGGTTGTTTTTTTAGATTGCTTCAATGGAAAGAAAAACCTATATTCAGTGTAGGATTTAGATATAGCTCATCCTGAGAAAAGACCATCTCATAATGTTTCCCAAACTTTTAGTAATTGAGATACAGGTTTCCCTCTCCCTGTGAATTATAAATGGTGAATAAATTCATTCATAGAATTGTAGAATAGTAGATTTGGAAGGGGCCAAAAGACCATCAGGTCCGATCCCCTGCTCGGTGCAGGATACCAAATTACACCATCCCTCTCAGGTGACTCTCCAGCTACATATTGAATGCCTCTAGTGTGGGAGAGCCTACAACCTCATAGACAGCAGGTGTGGGAAACTTGTGGCCTGTTAGATCTTCTGGACTACACCTTCTATCATCCCCCGATTGGCTAAGTTGGCTAGAGCTGCTGGGAGTTCTAAGCCAAAATATACTGCCATGTGTAATATTCAGAGGCACACATTTCTCCTTCACCTTTCAGTACAGTGAGCAGGTGTCCCACCTGGAACTGTGAGATTTCATCATCATCAACAAAATCATCATTGTAATTATTTTAATGTCATGTCCATCCCACCCAATGGCTTTACAGCAATTTACTGCACATACAGTAAGATAAAAATACAGTATACAATTCCAATACCATATTTAAAACAGCTTAAAAACAAAATAATTTCAGGAAGAATCAGCCTGTTAAAATCCCATCATATGACATTAAATAGTTGGCCGTAGAAGACGCCTTAACCTGGCACTGAGAAGATGACAGTGTTGGCATGAGGTGGGTTCATTTGAAAATTGGGGGCCACCACTGAGAAGGCCCTCCCCCTTGTCGCCTCCCTCTGAGCCTCCTTTGGCAGTTGCACCTGGAGCAAGACCTCAGATTTAAGTTGAAGTCCATGCAGATTCAGGCCATGTTACCTTTGATGTCCCTCTCTCCAGCTGGTAATCTAGGGATCCTGGGTATTCTAGAACAGCATCTCTGGAGAGCACCAGATTTGTAAAGGCTGCAGTGGTAAAGCATACAACGTAACCATTTCTTATTTGATTTAATTGCACCCTCAGGTCTCCTTTGAATTCAAGTCAGTTCTCCATACCCAGCTGGCCAACCTGTTCTTTAATGAAGTGGTGAAGCAGATGGTGTCAGCCTTTGAGCAGAGGGCAGAGAAGCTGTACGGCTCTCCGGCTGCAGCCCAGTCACGGAAGGCCGTTCAGTGCACGTGACCGCTGGCCCTGGCTGGATCGCGGTCCGAAGCATCCATCTTCACCGAGGAGAGACCATTCCACTTCTTACCCAATCCTGGATCTCTTTCCACTTGCCTTTTAAAGGACATTGCATTATTTATGATTATTTAACTCACAGAACCTTCAGAGTAAATTATTTTTATTAATTATTTTATTGAGAATTTTACTTTAGGATAATTTATTTGTTATTTAATTCTAATACTGTAAGGATGACTCCTTATTACAAAGGAGACCTCTGGCAATGACTGAAAATAGAGGATTAGTGGATTTTTAAAAAGTTTTTGTTTTAAAAATAGCAATAAATTTATTGTTTTGGACAGGAGTGTTGCAATAGGAAAGGGGGGTTAGAAAAGGGTGTTATAATAGCAAACTTGTGGAATTTTTAAAAGTTTATAGAAAAGAAATAAAAATGATTTTTTTCCTTCCAGGTATTACAAACTCTAGTGTTTTTATTTTAAGTGCCAATGCAGTTTAAATATATACTACTTAGTTGCTCTTTCTGAAAACATCTTAGCACAACCAGTGGAAAGTTCTCTAACCCAAGCTTTGCTAAAAGCAGCAATGCAATCCTCTGGCTCTGTTTAGCTCTTCACACAGTGTGATTTCCTTCCCTTATTCTTTGGAACGAGCTCCATAGGTTTTTCAGTGGTGTAGGAAGAACACTTTGCCTTCTGTCCTTGAAATAACAAATTTTGTTCTAATGTAATTCAAGCAATCCTAGGAAAAAGTAAACTTTTGGAAGTGGTTCGAGGGAATGGGATGTGAATTTTCGCTTCCTTCCTGTCTGTTCGGTCATGGTGAGAACATGCCAGAATGGATGAGCTGATCGGGAAGCTGAGTAACTGTACAAAAATTTGAGCGACCTTTTGGCCTTTTCCTGTTTTTTTCTCTTTGATGTTCTTTGACCGTCCTGTACGCACATAACGGATACAAGTGTTATTGTGTTCGGCGCCGGGAAGAATTCCACGAACGTAAATGCTTGTAATAAGTTGGAATTCCAACTTGGGTGGAATGGAACACCCTACTCTGACAAGTATGAGAATGCGTTAGGACATGGTTGTGATTTTAGATGTGATATGAAAATACAAAACCTAATCATGGTGGGGGCCTTCCATGTGCACCCACGGGCCCTGCTGTTTCCCAAAGCACATCCCTTGATGCTCACCAAATTCAGGTTGCCCTTCTCTCCCAGATTGCCCTCGCGACAGGGTGCTGCACTGGCTGGGTTTAGGGTGCTCTTGTACTCCTGAGATTAAATGAAGATACTGAGGACTGAACTGAAGACCTCTCTCCACACAGCATCTGTTCTAGGCTAGTGACCTCTCTAAAACTGAAATTGTTCCTTTATATCCACACTGTTGCCATTTATATAAATAATACAAAGCACAGTTATTTCCATAACTGCATCTGAACTTCCTGCATAAAGATGAAGAGCAGAACAGGAGAGGGAAGCCAGTTTCTTGAGCACTGTGAATCCTGTCTTCTAAGAGTCCGGTATTTGTTCTCTGCAGACTTCAGTTATCATTTCATTTTCAAGACCAGGAACTTATTTGGATGAAAATGACCTCCTTTTAAGCAGCTGAAAGCCACTGGATGCATGTGATGCAATGGCAGGATAAGCACACCTTTTGGCTGGGGTTGATTGTCGGAGGAGGTGCCCACCACATTACTCAAAGATGCATTCCGATTTCACACAGTCTCCCTTTATATATATATAAAGGGTTATACATTTCCTCTGTCTCCATTGCAATCAATCTATTTGGAGTTCATGGAAGAAAGCTTCTATTTTATTTTTAGTGTTGTAGTTAGTCTGTTTTATTAAAAGTCTTAATTAAGAACAACTGAATTTTACACATTCCCTCATTCAAGTTCTTCTTGTGATAGAGACAGTCTTCTTGTTGCAAGAGAAAATGAATTGTGTGATCCAGAATAAACCACTAAACCTAGTTTATTATGGACTGCTGTAAGCCACTAAAAACGTTGCAACTTTCATTAGGTAGAAGTGAGGGCTACTGAGTTCAATGGGACTTACTCCAAGGTAAAAATGTATATGATTGAAGCCTAATTATCCTTCAGAACTCACAGTTCTTGGCTATAAACAGCTACTTAGGCCTCAGGTTTGCCTGGGGAAGCCTTGCCTCCATTTCCCAGATGTGTCGGGTGAGTGTTAAGTTCTGCCGTGGGCAGAGGGGTGCTGAGGAGCAGGTTGTGCAAACAGGTATGGGACCAAGCTCTCGGGGTTTGCCTCTGACCAGCATAGGGACTTGCAGACTCAAGAGCTACCACGGCAACATAATTTTGTCACTCTGCAACAACCAGTATGAAATTGCCACCTGCGTCCCTTGGGGGCTGGAAACACCGCTTGGCGCTTCTTTGGACCACCAAGTGAGACTCCTTCCCCAAATGTCTCATGTTGAACCACAACAGAATTCAGTCACAAGCAGGTTGAACAAACACCTCAGCCAGTTTCCACAGTATCCCATCTCCCAACCACCAGAACATGGCTTTAGAATCCATTAAAATTCAGAGCTGCGGCCTCTCTGAGTAGATGCACCATTGAACAAACACCCCTTTCCATCGCTGACAAACAATAAGCATTTCTAAGTCAAAAGGTCAGGCAGGCTTGAGTCCCGATTTCTCAGTTTAGAAACTTATAGCTGCTGTCCTCTTTCCACCCAAATCCTTCACACGTTCACAGGCCCCTGGGCCAGGACTGCCTTGAATCAGCAGCAGTGAATGTGATGACATCCCTAAGCGCTCAAGCCAGGGCGAGTGGCAGAATCCATTGCCATGAACCCGCCCAATGGCTGCTTGAGCCAAGATGAAATCCGACTCCCCTCCAGACCTCTGACTGGGCAACAGCCACCTTTGTACCTGTGTATGCCTGGAATCGCTGACGAGCTTGGCAGCAGCAGCCACACAGATGACGCGGGGAAGTGGGTGTTCAACCAGGTGACCGAACTGCAGTGCACAGGGGCGCCAAAACGCAGAGAGAAGGCTGTGACTTTGGACAGCGGGAAACGTCATCCGTGGCAGCAAACCTCCTCATGGAGTGAGCAGAAACACGTACCATTCCTGCTATTTCCCAAGTTTAGGGGTGAATGCCATATGTTTATGTGCAGAAAAAAATGACACCACTATAGAAGGAGAGGGAGATCTTTGCATGCTCAGAAGATTCCAGAAGTATGTAGAAAGGGGAGGAATGAAGAAACTAACACTCTAAAGGGGGCATAACCCCCATGGCTGAATTACAACTGTGCATGTGTTTCCCATATGCTGGATTTACTCGGGTCCACAGTAAGATCGGGGCTCAAGGCTTCAGAAGCTCGCGGCCCTTCACAGACTCTAACTTGCCTTGCATGATAACCACGTGCAAACCAGTGTGTGTGTTTAAAGCAGGTCATCTGGAGCACACCAGGTTGCCTGATTCAACCCTGATTTGAAGTAATTTTCCATTCTTTTAAAGGCTCACACCCTCACAAAGCAACAAGAAGGGAAAGATGGCTGCCCTGACAAGCATGCAGAAAACCTTCAGAGGCTACTCCAAGCATGTAAACAAATGCGGATGCCCATAAGTCTCTGCACTCCACAGATTAGGTGCAGCCGAAGCAAAGTGGATGGAGCCCCCTGAAAGTCGGCCAGAATGGAGCCCTTCACATGGGGAGGGAAGCAGGCAGCAGCACTATGGGGATATGGTATATCTTGGTCTCCTGTCCTGCCTGCCTTCTCTGCCCTTCTCCCAGGTCACTCTTACAGCCTTGGAGAAGCAGCAGGTATGCTTTCGTTCCCTGCCAAGTACAAGGGGCCAGCCCACCTGTATGATGCATCTCTGCACACAAGCAGTCAAAACGCACTCCAATGTACACACATACGCCACAACCAACCAAATTAAGACATGCACATCACAGCAAAACAAAGCAAGCAAAACAGCTTCCTTGCTTCCCACGCCCTCTAGCTCCATGGCTCGCTAAACTTTCGTTAAACTTTCAATTTAACTTTTTAAGCTGCACATAAAGAGCATTGCCATAGCCTAATCTGCAGTGCAGGATGGGGGTTGCAATATCAGCAGGGCTGGGGATCCACTCTGGATTTACCCATGGCACTGAGTAAAAGTTCAGAGTAAATCTGGGGTAGATACACAGCCTCTCAGAGCCACCTGACTCCACTGCTGATTTAGAATTAACCAGTGAATGGGCAACTGAGGTCAGGCGAGGCCACACTGCAGGTAAGAATGCAGCTGGCATACAAGCCAGAGCTTCCACCATTGCTCCTGGCCAGGCACAGCTGCTACTGTGGCCTGGCCAGGAATCTCCAAGCCGTACACCTGACCTTTGAAGGGGAGTGCAATCTCAATCAAGCCTGTTTTCACCTACTATCCAGATCTACCCACACCACCTCCATCTTTCGCAGATTAACCATCACTGTCATTTTGAAGTCTGTGTGCTTACCTTAGGAGATCTTTAAAAATGACACATTCCACCTAGTCTGAGCTTGCCTGTAAATACTGCATTATACTGGCATTGCTGGTGTTGTGTGGCTTTCCATTTACTTGCTTTTTCATTCCCGAGTACAGATCATCCGCCCCATGTCCCAAGCAGAACACTGGGTTATCCCAGGATTTGCTTTGCTACATGCCTTTGGCCTGATCATATCTGGAATGGCTCCTGGTTATTGTGCCAGTTCCAAGGTATTCTCAGCAACACCACCTGTGTGGTTGCTGGTCGTCTAAATCCATCAAGCCTTGGAGTCCTCCACAGCTGTAGACAAGGATGAAGGGTACACTAACGGAACCCTAGTCCAAGCTCATGCTCCTAACATCAGGTGTAAGCACTTGAAAAGTGTTAGAACTACAGGAATGATGGAATCTTTGGAGATTTAGGACTGGGGCTGGACCTTATAACCTGATGTCTCACCAGTTTTATATTTTTTATTTATTTAAAACATTTCTATGCCGCCCCCATCGTAACAAAGCCTCGGGGCGGCTCACAAAGAATACATACATACATAAATAATAATAATATAACAATTTAAAAGAAAAAAAATTAAAAACCCCCAGTGCATTCTCAGCTAAAAATTTTAAAATCCTAATTAATTCAATAATTTAGCAATTAAAATAAGTTTTAAATAAAAAGGTCTTAGCCTGGCGCCGAAAAACAAATAACGATGGTGCCAGGCGGACCTCTCTGGGGCGCGCATTCCATAGATGGGGCGCCACCGTGGAGAAAGCCCTCCTCTGGGTACTCACCCTCCTAATATCATTCACAGAGGGTTCCCGGAGAAGGGCACCCATTGCTGATCTCAAGGGGCGGGAGGGCATATTTGGGCACAAGCGTTCCTTTAGATATTCAGGTCCCAAGCCTTTTAGGGCTTTATAGGTCATAACCAACACCTTGAATTGGGCCCAGACTTCAATCGGGAGCCAGTGGAACTGACGGAGAACTGGGGTTATATGAGAACAACGCACAGTCCCCACCAGCAACCTGGCAGCTCTATTCTGCACCAATTGAAGTATCCGGACTGTCTTCAAGGGTAGCCCCACGTAGAGCACGTTACAGAAATCTAATCGGGAAGTTACCAGCACGTGTGTCACTGTCGCCAGGCAGTCATTCTCCAGGAAGGGACGCAGCTGATGTATCAGCCAAAGCTGAAGGAAGGCGCTCCTCGCCACCGCCGTCACCTGATCTTCTAGAGACAGCTCAGGGTCGAGGAGCATTCCTAAGCTGCGAACAGTGTCCCTCAGAGGGAGTGCAACCCCATTTAGGACAAGGCCCAAGTCCCCCATCCCGAGGCCCGAGCCACCCACCAACAGGACCTCCGTCTTGTCTGGATTGAGCTTCAGTTTCTTGGCCCTCATCCAGCCCATTACCTCAGCTAGGCACCGGTTCAGCACAGCCACTGCCTCATCTGGATTGGTGGAAAATGAGAGGTAGAGCTGGGTATCATCAGCGTACTGATGACTCCGCAGCCCACACCTCCTGATGACCTCTCCCAGCGGTTTCATGTAGATGTTAAATAGCAAAGGGGACAAAATGGACCCCTGCGGAACTCCATGGCATAACTGCCATGGCGCAGAGCCATAGTCCCCCAGCACCACCTTCTGAAATCGGCCATTGAGATAGGAGGGGAACCACTGCCACGCGGTGCCTCCAACTCCCAATCCCGCTAGCCTATTCAGAAGGATACCATGGTCGATGGTATCGAAAGCCGCTGAGAGGTCCAGGAGAACTAACAGGGACGCACTCCCCATCTCTCTCCCTGCACAGGTCATCATACAGGGTGACCAAGGCGGATTCAGTGCCATACCCAGGTCTGAAGCCGGACTGAAATGGGTCCAGATAATCAGTTTCATCCAAGAGTGCTTGGCATTGCCCCGCCACCACCCACTCTAGCACCTTGCCCAGGAACGGGATGTTGGCCAATGGTCTATAATTGGCGGCCACCTCTGGATCCAGGGATGCCTTCTTTAGGACTGGCTGGATTACTGCCTCCTTTAAAGGGGCAGGTACCCAGCCGTCTCTTAAAGAGGCGTTGACCACCTCCAGGACCCAGGTCCCAATCCCATCCTTGGCTTTCTTAAGTAGCCAAGATGGGCATGGGTCTAGTAAGCAGGTGGTAGGACGTACTTGTCCAAGCACCTTGTCCACATCATCAGGCCGCAACAACTGAAATTCATCCATTAATTGTGGACTCAACAGCATCTATGGCATCTCCCCAGTAGAATCTGATTCGATAGCAGAGTCAAGCTCGTGGGAAATCTGAGCGATTTTCTCCCTGAAATGCTTGGCAAAGTTGTCACAGCGGGCCTTCGAGGGTGGCACAAGATCTTTCTTCGGGCCCGGATGTATCAGCCCCTGCACCACCCGAAAAAGCTCCGCCGGACAGCATTGTGAGGAGGCAATGGAAACAGAGAATTTCTTCTTTGCCATCCTCACCACCACAGCATAGGCCCGATAATGGGCTCTTAAGTGTGTTTGGTCAGAATCACCCCGTGATCTCCTCCACCTACGCTCTAGATGTCTCCCAACCTGCTTCATCACCCGTAATTCAGGTGTATACCAAGGAGATGAACGGGCTCTGCCAGGTGGGAGAGGACACTTGGGAGCGATTGTGTCAATAGCCCTGGTCATCTCCTCATTCCACAGTTCAACCAGGGCATCGACAGGATCACCAGGCTTGTCAACCGGAAAATCCCCCAGAGCTTCCAGGAATCCATCAGGATCCATCCGGCTCCGGGGGCGGACCAATACAATCTGGTCCGCACCCTTGCAGAGGGAAAGGCCATTCTCGAGCTTAAACCTTATAAGGAAGTGATCTGACCATGACAAGGGCGTCAAGCTTTAATTCCTCACCCTCAGATCACCCTCTTCCTGCCCCGTCGAGAAAACCAGGTCCAGAGTGTGTCCACGTTCATGGGTCGGGCCAATGACGTGTTGAGACAGCCCCACGGCCGCCATGGAGGCCATGAAGTCCTGAGCTGCCCCGGTTAGAACCGTCTTGGCATGGAGATTGAAGTCCCCCAGGACCAACTTCCTGGGAGTCTTCAACACCAGGTCCGAGACGATCTCTGTCAGCTCAGGCAGGGAGTCTGTTGGGCAGAAGGGTGCACGGTACACCAACAGAATCCCCAATCTGGCTCGGTCGCCCAACACCAAGTGGAGGCACTCCAGCCCCGGCCTCGAGAGGTCAGGAAGCCCACAAGGGAAATAGAAGCTCGATAAACCAGAGCAAACCCCCCTCCCCTCCCCTCCAGGCATGGTCGGTGCTGGACCAGGTACCCGGGCGGGCACAATTGTGAGAGGGAAATATCCTCCCCTCACCCGCCCAGGTCTCTGGGATGCATGCCAGGTCGGCCCTCTCGAGTGTTGCCTTATTTTGGACCAACCTGGCATTAAGCAGCAGCACTGACAGGCCCGGCACCAACAGGCCCAGAGGGCAGTTGATAAGTCACAAAAGGAACTTCCAGCACAAGGTCAACAATGGCAAATACTTTCCCATTAACCACTCTGATGTTCAATAACAGTAATCTCAGACTTGAATGGGCTGCAGTCAAAGCGCCAGCATTATTAAAGTTAGAAGGGGAGATGCTGTGCCAGAGGGACAGCTCGCCTCCCCTCAACCAATGCCTTTGCTCGCTCAGCATCACAACTCCTCCTGCAATTCTAATGGTGGCTCCATTTCCTCCCTTCCTTACCCAAAAACACATTGCCAATGCCATGCTAGGTGAATATGGAAGGCTGTGTGCATGTCCGAGTCCATGGCAATGAAGAAAACGTGCAGAGTGCAATACTAGGCCCCAAATTCACCACAAGGAACCCTCTGTAACCTATGCAGCTGTATAGAAAAGTGTGCCTAGTTAATCTAAAAAGGAGGCCTTCCTGCCTTGATCAAAAGCAGAATCAATTATGTAAAACCAGCTCAAAGGTGCTTATTTGCATAATAATAAGGCCACAGAATTCATCTTGCTTTGGTGTAGATTTTTGCAAATTACCCAAAGCTGCAAAGAAAACATTGTTGCTACTTGGGAATGTTGAGTTAGGGATCGGTGAAAAATCTATCAGGAATGCTTTAGCTGTGAGAACGTGAGAATACCCCTCCTTGCCCACTGCCATCACTTTGTAATTCAGAACCTCTTCTCCATGCCCCCGTTTTGGCCATCTAATATTCTCCGTAGCCCTCTGGGGTGAAGACTGAATCACTTCTTTATTCTCTGCAGCATCTCAAACATGGAAGTTGTGATCTGCTAGGGTCAACCGTAGTGGGAAAACTGTTAAGAGCTGAGCAGGGCCGCCAAGGACAAGACACTCTGCAAGGCATCCATTCATAGGCTCACTGAAGGTCAGAGACAACTTGATGGTGCAAAACAACCAACAGCTTATGTGGACAAGACTGCAGCTTGTATCATCTTTTCTGATTCTGCTCATTACTGGAATGGGAGAAGATCATGGCATGCAGCAAGATAACCTATGGGCTGTGATGTCTGAACTGTGGGCCTATTGGCCGCAAGTGTGTCAGATAAACAGGGGAGGCACAGGTGTTTGTTTAATTATTTCAAGCGGGTGTGAGGAAGCAGACTCTTAGGAACAAACAAATATTCCACCCACCCGCTCCAGCCTTCCACACGTTGGTGGCCCATGTTTGTTCAAGTCATACAGCATTCACAGTCTTTGCCAAGACAATGCACAGGCTTATGCGAAACAGCCGCCCAGTGCAGATTTCTGTCTTCCTTCAGTCTGACAGAGGTGCCTCCTCCTGTCCCATCACAGCAGTGGCTGCGAATGGAGATTGGCTTTTTGCACAAACTCTTCCTTATGGGTGCCATCACAGTATGGAGGGTTCTTGGTGTATTTGCAGCCACACAGCCATGCCTCTTTCGCTTCCTCCAGTTGGAATCTCAGAGGAGAGAGTTTTGGGGCATATTTTTTATGGGATCCGTCACAGAAAGGCTGTTGGGAACACAAAATAGAACCAAGGACTTTAAAAAGTGAACCTCACAGTAGAAGTACGCTTGCTGCCAGTTGATTTCTTGCAGTACTTTTGGCTCTAATACCCTGGTGCACTACTGGAACAACGGGGACATCATGTAAATCTGAATGGGCATGTTTGATTTGCAAGCCCAGTGTGACTTTTTAAAAAGCGTCTTACTTGGGATGCACTGAAGTGTTATAGATTAAATTTCAAGAAACAATTCTCAATTGGTGTTGGCCTCACATGCAGCAGCAACTCTGTTCTGGCTTATACTAAGCCGGGGGACTCATGCAACACTGGAAGGGACCTACTTTAAGCACTGAAATAGGCCTACTTGGCAGACAGAGTTTCTGAGAAGGGCAGCTTCTAAGTTACCCCATCCAGAGAGAGATGCAGAGATTAATTTGAGGGAGGCTGGAGGGTTACCTGCTTTTGGCTGTGCCCGCAGGAGCACCAAGAATAACGTTTTCCTGCTTCCAAGTCCACCTGAAAGGGATGCTTGGCTCCGATCACTGGCTGGGCTGAAGATGCTGAAGCAGCTGAACAGTTCCTTATCTGCAACGTGTCCATGGCAGGGTGGTATGGAATGGGGGAAATAATTAGCATTATTAATGGAACAAGGCAACTAAGGTGCCCAATGTGAAGGGCTACCACAGGAACGTTGTCTATCTCAGGGCATGTCAGATCAAGCATTGATAATCCTGTGTCCTCTAGATGTTTTGGATGGCAACTCCTATAAACCTTGACTAATGGCCATGCTGGCTGGGGCTGATGGAACTTGTAGAACACAGCACTTGGAGGGCCCCATCTTTGCCATGGACCGTGACAGTACAAACCTTGTATATGAAATACATTCCGCTCTGAAAGGGAGATGTACAGGTTCAATTTCCAGACACAACATTTTGCAAAAAGCAAATATGCAAGCATATTTGCCCACCTGCTTTTTGCCATGGGTTTTCACATGCCAAGCTGCCCTCTGGCCAAGTCAGGGAATGACTGCCATGTTTCAGATCCTGGATCTGAGGGATGCAAAAATGCTGGATTTTCCTTCCTTTAGTTCCTCAAGTGAGGACAATATTTAGGCACCAGGTTGGCTGATTTCTGAGGGAACAAGTGTGGTGGGAAAAAAAGGAAAGGTCCTGCCTCGCAGCAGGGAAACGGTTGTATCAGCTGCCCAATTTCTTTCAGCTCTATGATGCAAAGGTCATAGCTGCGCACCCTTGCATTGCTTCGGTAATAATCGTAACTTCTCTCAAAGAATGCCGGGGATTGTAGTTTTATAGACGCTCAGACTGCTCTTAGCAAGTCTAAGTGTACCCCTGTAGAACTACAATTCCCAGGATCCCTTGAGGAGAGAAGGCGTTCCCTGGCTGTCAAATATGTTATGCATATCATGTGGATTAATACCCTCTGCCCTCGTCGGGAGCACTAAAGAAGAGTGCTCTGACCTCCCAATGTATGCATATATGTGGATTTGACCAGCATCAGGGGATTAAACATATGGACTCTGGAGCAGTAGTGGACATCTGGAGCAGATGAATCGATCACTCCTATGCCTAGATTGCTCAGAAGCAAATACCACCGGGTGCAACCGGGCTTACTCGGTACAGTGCTGCAGCCTAACTACACCGGAATAAAATGGCTTCTAAGGATATCTCTAGAAATTACTCAAAAAACGCAGTCCACCCTGTGGCTTTTCATGGAAAATCAAAGCAAACTGTCCTACTCATTTAAACGATATCGAGGGTCTGTTAACTCGGCATCTAGTGAGGGGGGCTGGGTAGGGGCCCTTCTGCAAACTTCTCAGCCTCCAGCGCTCACCTGGGAGAAAGAGATCCGGGCGAGGGAACCAGCCACAGGCGAGATGAGCGCGCCGACCGCTTGCAGCTTCGGCATGGTTTGCTAGCAGGGAGCGCTGCCGCAGCTCCTCCCCTCGCCAGAGTCACCTTATTCTCCCTCATCGCCCTCTGTATCTGCCCTACAGGAAACCGTAGGAATTGCAGTTCCTGTCTCGTCTGCAAGCCCTTGAGCAGGCAACAAAGAGTTCCTAGCAGGCTTCTGTTCGTTTTGCAAAAGCTCAAAGGCTGCAGATCGGAAGGTGATCGAGAGGCTTTTTTGAGGTGGGAGTGCAGTCCAGGCTCCAACAGACTGCAGATTTAGGCACTGGTTGGGCTACTTCTTGCTTGCTAGACCAGGCTGGAGTTACGAACAAAATAGTAACGAAAGATGTGTTCCTATGCACGTGGAGACAGATATCAAATCCTTCAACTGTTGTAGGACTTTCCCCGTCTAAATATGCATAGCAGTATGCTCAAAATTATTATTAATAAAAATAAAACGCTTATTTAGTGCTTTTCTTAGCAGAGTGCCTCACACTGAGAACACACGTTAAGCAAACAATCTGATACTGGATTTCATGCTTCCGGGTGTCTGGGTGGCCTTCTCTTTGCTAAATGTAGCAGGCTTGCTTTCCTAAACATAGTTGTTTTTCCAACAAAGGCATGTGGGAAGAAGCAATGGTAACATTCACTTTCTTTGTGGGTCTTTGCGCCAGTTTTCCATACATTCACTTTTCAGAGATGTTGCCGGGCTCACATTTCCTTGTGGGTAGCTACTATTTTTTTTTAAATGGCAGGGTTCCTGTGCCTTTAAAAGCTGCATGACAAGTAAGAATTATGTGGCTATGGAAATGTTTGCTGGCTTTCTGCAGCTGGTAAAGATGGCAGGACAAATGGGACCTTAAATGGGAACAATGGCTCAGGTATCAAAGATGTTGTCCAATGAATAAGACGTTTGGGTTGTCAAACTGTTTTTCTTCTGCAAACCTCTTGAAAGTTGCTTGACATGTTTTTGAAAATCGTTATAAATAAAAAACCAAGCTCTCCCTCTTTTTTTGTGCCATCAACATCACAATCTGCATCCTATTATGAAAAGAACATGCCCTAGGCCAGGCTACTGATAAGAGCTCCTTCAACTGGTAAGTTTTAAGGGGAAAAATGAAGCAGCATTCTATTATGAAGATCTTGTCAGTCTGTTTGATACTCAGGCCCTGGTTTAAAAAAATGAGTTCTATTAAAAAAAAAAATAGAAGGCATTGCTGCTGCTTGAAGTTTCCAAGGAAGTATATATATTTTTTGCCCTCAGAAATCTGGAAAGTGTGTTTTCTCTCATATCCTATGCCATTTAGCTGCCCAAATATGCTCAGGTAAGATAATCAACAGAAAGGAAACCAAAGGAACCAATTCATTTGCCCTCATGGTCTACATATGCTCAGCAAGTTGCTTCCAATATCATCTGATTCAAATCATGCTCATCTGAGGGAGCCCTTCACACACACCTGGTGCCACATGGAGTAGCTTCCCCTTGGCAGAATTCCATATGGCTGCACTGTATATGAACAACACAACTGGGGCTGATCAAATGAGTTTTGCTACTTGGAAGTGGCCCACTTCTGCCCATGTGCATGTGGATATGTTTCTTTAGCTGCTCTCAAACTTTATGATGATATTCTTAGTGCATGTGTGACAGAATGATCATATAAAATTCCCCCTCAGATGAAATGGCGTATTTCTGTTTCCTTCCTCAGCTCAAGGTGTTTCTGCAGTGAACACAAATGGTGTGGGAGATGCTTGGCTAAGAACAATGCAGTCAACGTGCACTTGGGAGATTTGGCTGACTGATACAGCTCTTGTCATGTGCATTTACTGTGTGTGTGTTCAGACATTGCATTGCAGTAACAGTGTACAATTAACCACATGTTTTCTTCCAGATTACACTGCAGTGATCAAGGTGAAAATCACTTTCCCAGCAACATGTGAAGCAGGCATCACAATAATCCTCTGCAACTTATTTCCCAATGGTGACTTCAGCCATCTTGCTTCCTTGCTGGCTGCAAGGACTCTTATAGCGTTCCAGTGTAGTGGTTCATATCCACAGGTCCAGGGGTCAAAGTTGGCCTTCTGGGCATCCCAAGCCAGTTCCCAGGAATTCTGTTTCCTGCTTTGCAAGGCAACATGAAAAGTGACACGCAACAGTTGACTCTGGCTAGTCAAACTGTGGGTTGTTGGTGAGGTTATAAATTCATGTGAACCCAGGCAAACCATGAAGAAGAACTCATGGTTCACAACCTACTAAGGAGCCATGGGTTTTCTTCATGGTTTGAGTGTGATTAACAAACAACCATTTGTAAGCACAGCTGAGTTCAGACAGCACAATAACCCTCCTTCCAACAACTATCCATGATTCAGAGGAAACCCTCACAATCCTTGTGTTGTCCAAATCAGGTTTTACTGCTGGTGACACTCTGTTTCCTGTGGTTTAAATCAAGACAACAGACTTGATTTCTGTTTTTCTATCACACTATATACGCTGATCAACTTACCACTGAATTGTGTTATCACTCAGCAACTTGTGAATGACAACAGTTTAGGTAATCACTGCTGCCCTACTTCATTGTATTTCAATTCCCTCCGACAGTTTACATTTCACTGCTTCCCCACTCCCAGCATGTGCATATAAAACTGCCAGTTTGCAGTTAAAGTCTTTAGGCATCTGATGAACCAGGCAACGGCCCCAAAAGTTTAAGCCAGAGTATGTCTTTATGGTGCCACAAGACTTTGTGGCTTAATCTTATTGAATCTGGTGTGGCAACAGCAACCTTGTGAAGCAAGCAACCTTTTCCCACAGGTGTGTTTTGTCGACTGGCCCTCAAGAAGTGACAATTTCAGTATTGTAGTGCAGCCATCCTCAACTTGTTGGTCCTCCAGATATATCAGACACCAGCTCTTACCACCTCCAGCTAAGAGGGTTATGGGGCTTGCTACCTGGGAATAATGGGCATTGCCATGCAACCCATCTGGAGGGCGTCAGTTTGGAGAAATCCAGCATATGTGGAAGGAATCTTTATTTTAGGAAGTGATCCAAAAGTCATCTTAACACTTCCAGGTGGAAAGGTTGGAGTAGAAATTATTTGTATGCACCAGAGTTTAGAAACATAGAAACAGAGCAAGTCAGAAGGGGCCTCCCGGGCCATCTAGTCTGACCCCCGGCTCCAGCTGGCTCTGCTCACGACATGCCCACCATGTGCATGTCCAGCCTATCTTTGAACACCCTCACCGAAGGGGCCTCAACGACCTCTCGTGAGCGTCTTGAGACTTAACCCAGGGTGGGCTGCCATGTTCTTGGATATATACTGGATCGACTGCTATGGACTTTCTTGCCTCCTTGTATCCATAGCAGCCTCTAGTCTACTAAAATTGTTATGGGGTGAATTGTGCTGTGTGTAGGGAGCCTGGATCCTTCAAATACAAGACAGAGTAACCTTCTACAAGCAGAGTTCTTCTTTCCATGGAAGTGGCCTTGCTTTTGCGGAAGGTAGATCCTGGGCCCAACCCATCTTATTGCACATTTTCTGACATGGATCATTCTGATACAGTTGCTGAATCCCAACATTTTTATCAAAGAAGAAAATTGCCTACGCATTTCCATGGCACCACTTTGTGCTTAGTTAAATTTGAAAAGAACAAAGAAAAATGCCACGGTTTTATTATTTTACTGTGGTTGTTTTTTAAAAAGTCTTTGATATTAATATTATTTATTACAATAAAGAACAGTCAAGCAGCATGAAAAAAATATATCTTAACTACATTACCTTAATTGCCAAAAATATACACATCTTTTCCTCTTATATAATTAAAAATTACAACAACTGAGGGGGGAGGGGTGTTAGACACAGGCAATGTACTAAAATGAAATATCAGCATCAAAAGATGGGTAAAGAAGTATACCCCAGTGCAACCAAACGTAGAACATAGTCTTTTTTCAGTTTTTATTTTTGTTCTCTTCCTGCCAAGAAAGAGTTGTTGGTGCTCTGCCCCAGGGCTTTTTCACAGCCCATTCCCAGTCTGCTTTAAACATGACTTTCTACCATGGATCATGAACCCTGTGCTCACTTTCTGATGGTTAGAATGAGGTTGGCTTCATTCTGGCATTTGTTGGAGAGGTGCTTCAGCTGGAAAAGGTGCAGAAAGAACTATCAAAATGATCAAGGGGCTCGGAACACCTTTCCAACAAGGACAGGCTAAAGCGTTTTAATTCACAGAGCTAGCGGGATCTCTGAAGTCACCTAGTAAAAGATTTGACCATTGCAGGAAACCCTCATAGTCCTATGGGCCATCTAACTCCTGCTGTAACCAAGGCAAGCTCACCAGCTTTCAAGACAGTCTTTTCCACTGCCACACTGTCTAAATCCTCTTTTCCTGTATCTTGAACCCATTTCTTTAGGTCCCAGCTTCTGTAGTAACTCAATCCTCAATGAGGGAGCCCTTCAAATATTCAAGGTTTGCTATCATATCCCTTCCTAATAGCCTCCTTTCCAGGCTTTACATCCCCAATTGCTTCAAGATGTGTAATGGCCAAAGACGATGCTGGAGTTCCTAGACCAAATTTTTCATCTCCTTTTAACTTTCCTTTAAAAAACAGCTCACGTGTATGTGCGTATTGGATTAGATCAGGATGGTAGTGCTAAGGCCCCTGTGTGTACCCTTTCCCTGATTTAAAGCTGTAATCTTATACATTATCTGGAAAGAAAACCCACTGAATTGATTACGACTGCACTGCATAATTATCCCTAAGCTATTATTTACACCTGCAGGGGAGGCAAAACTGTAGTTATATGCTTAATATAACAGAGAAAATAACTGCTGTGGTGATGGGGTTATTTAAATCAGGAAAATGGTAGTAGTAATGGGAGAAGTTCATCCTTTAGGAACATTATGGATGTTGAACAAGACAGTTTTTTGTCCTCTCATAACTCAAGGACACTGGATGCATTTGCACACAATGGTAAGTGAGAATCCTGCCTTATTAACCACGATGCGAACAAGCTGTGTGTCCTCGCATGCAGACTACACATTCCTGGTTTGATCCTGCCACTCCAGTGAGCAGGTAAACAAACCAGACGTGGTTAGCTCAATGTGATACTGGAACCTGTAATGGTGGCTTACTGGACCAAGGAAAAAAAAAGCCAGGATAAAAAATATGGTTTAAAGGCGCTTATGATCCAGTCGCAGCATTGCGAAAAGATACTGTAGAGCAGAAGTTTCCAACTTTTTTGTACCTGTGGGCACATCTGAGAAACTGGTGTGGGTGCCACCACAAAAGGGCTTGCTTCCATGAGGTGTCTAGTCACATGATGGCTCTGAGGAGAGAAATAGCAAGGCTAGAGGGTGGGAGAGCACAGGAAACAGCAAGGCAAGGAGAAAGGAGAGAAGGAGCACTGCTGCAGACTGAGGCCCTGTTACAAGAGCTAGAAAAGGACAACCAAAATAATCAGGGAGGTGGGAGGAAAAATCACAATGTTTGATACTAGACCAGGGCTAAAGGGAGCTAGTTTGAACCTCCAGAAGCCACTGGGAACCACTTCACTGCCACCATACACTGCCAAATTTGGTTGTGGCAGCAGCAAAACAACAAGCAGCGGCACAAAAATATCTTAGATATTAAATGTGGCCTTTTAAGGCAACTGTTGTGATTTGCTACGCGAATTTAGTGGCAAGCCATTGCTGCCACAGTAAATCCAGTGGAGCTTGTCTACTCATGCTTAAAACCAAGGGTGTCGTATGCCTACACTCAGCTTAAGAAAAAAAGTGAGGGAGGGAGGATATCAAGGGGGAGTATCAAATTATACCATGGAATAGAAAAACGGGATAGGGAGTTATTTCTCGTCATGCAAAACTTTTTGTGACCCTGTAAAACTGGATGGAATATTTAGGACAGGTAAAAGAAAAGGTACTCCTTCAAACATCCCACTGTTAAACCAGGGAATTTGCTACCACAAAATACAGTGATCACCACCAACCTGGATGACCTTAAGGGAGGATTAGACAAGTGCATGGAAGAGGAGTGATTATCAAGGACTAGTCCAGGATCAGGGAAGCAGGCCGTCACCATTTGCTTGTGTGCGTGACTGGGAGGAGGGGAGTGCTGTGGCCTTTAGGTGCTACGTGCGGACTTCACACAGACATCTGGTTGTCCACTGTGCAAAGAGGGTGCTGCACAACATGGGCCTTTAATCTGATCAAAAAGGTTTCTCCTTACATTCTTATCCATGCTTTACCAGGCTTAATAAACCCAGATTCTTGGCTCCTTGTGATGAACCAATCAGGTCACCAAATGGGCAGCAGTTTCAGGACCATCTAAGTACTTCTTCACACAACCCATACCTAACCCAGAAAGTTAGCTGCCACAAGCTGTGCTAATTTCTGAAAGGAGTTTAGATAAACATTGCCATTTCTGGCTATTAGTTACTTGGAACTTAGGATGCCTCTGAATAATGGCTGCTTAAGAACAACAGAAAGACGACTTCTGCCTGCATGTCAGTTTTCTAGAGGCATCCATCTAGCAACTTCTGGAAGCAAATCCCTGCAAGAGAAGAGTTCTTGGTGTGATCTGGTGGGCTCTTACTTCTGATGTTTTTAAGGCTGAATTCTACCGGTCTGATCCATGCCTGCAATCAGTGCCCCTTCGATATTTCAGGGGCCACTGTGCACAGCAGAGGTAGGAGCTTCACCTGTAACACTGTTTCAATGGGGAAACTAAAACAAGTGCCAATGAGTTTGCTATCCACCCTGCAGTAGCCCGTCAGTTGCAGGAGCTTATGCTGTTGTGCCTGGCTGCCAAACGAATGGATGACTGCATTCCCTCCGATCAACATGCACCCTACAACATCCATTACAAAATCACACATTATTGAAAGGAACCTTGCCAGTTCATCTCAAGGACATATTCAGAGAAGTGGGGGGGGGGGGGATGAGACCCCAAAGAAGTGGGTTCACTCCTTGTTGACAACCAAGCTTGCTGAGAAACTTCAGGGTGGTCAGGCAGTTTTGAGCCTGAAGAAAATCCAACTGGCATCCACTAATGAGTAAAGGGCACATTCAAGTGAATGTTATCCTTTGCAAAGCCATTGTAATGAGCAGGTACGCTTTCGTGCAGTTCTGGCTTATTTCAATGTCCTAGTTGGTCCCCAGGAATCAGGGTTGTCTCTTTATTAAGGACATCCAAAATCTGCATCTTGACTCATGGCAGGGCTGCATCTGGATCACTATTTTTGGCAAGGGGAAAGAAGAGGGTGAACTTTGACAAATGGTAGGTCCACTTGGGCCTAGGATCCACCAGTTGCTGAGCAACCCTAACCTAACCATTTTGACGTTAATATAAAAACACAGAAACCTCATTGATCCATATCAATAGAAAGTAATGCCCAAAACAGACTAGATTTACAGGAGAAAACATTGCAGTAAAAACAGAGACTAGATGGAGATTGGAGCTGATACATTAAAAAAGGAGAGAGGGACTTTGGATGATGCAAGAAATAAATAAGTGCTTCTTTTCTCCACCCCTCTTCACTCCCTAATCTCCACATCCTTCTCTGCTGAGACTCCAAGAGGAATATCTTGAGATTGACATTAATCTAAATAAAAGTGAAACCAGAGAGCAAGGTTCAACCACCTCTTCCAAAATGTGTGATTTTCCTAGATACTAACAGTCCAGCTAAGCATGAGTCTGTAACCTCAATAAGTCATGCAATGTAGGAAAACTGAACAATGCTGTACATTTCACAAAACAAAGGGTGGGTAGAAATGGATTTTAAATAGGGAAGTTAGCCTGGTTTATCTTCCTGTGGGGTAGGCCTGGCTTCATCACACCTACACCCCTGTCTAAATTATTTTGGCAGAGTGATCAGTTCATTAAACACTGACCAATTACTCTCTCCCAGCACATCCCCCTGCACTTCTGGTATGTTCTTGCACCTGCTACTATCTTTTTAAAAAGCAGTTTGCATGTTTGTCCAATTTAATGTTTTCTTGGTGCCTTTAAAATAAATTGCATACTATTTTTAAGCATTTTTTTAAAAAAACCTACTCCTGAAAAGGAGAGGCAGAACCCCAGCCAATCAGAAAAGCATCCAGATGGTTTTGGCACTAAACACAAGTCTCTCCCCTCCATCCTGGGGAGAAGATTCTACATGAAACAAAATGTGTTCAGTGTGATTCCACAAAGGTTGCACTTCTCAAAGAATGTGCTTGGATAAACCCCAGCACTCCTGCTAGCCCTGTGGGAGAGGGACAGGAGTAAAGAAAAGCACCAGGATATCAAAAAGCCTGTCTAGTTTTATCTGCTGCCCCAAATGAAGAGTCATTCATTCTGTAGAGCTTTTCAAGGTCAACTGATATAATGCAAATGACAGGCAGTCATTCTTCAGGTGTGATTTTTCCAGGCCTATCCCCTCCCTGCCCAGCCAAGCAGCCATTTGTGGGCAGCCCATCTGGCGCTTAATGAAACCTACTGTTTTCCTGTTTCTAGGTGGGCCGTGCTTGGTTTGGTGGACACACTCTTTAGGCCTGTAACCCTTCAGCCAAGAAACGTGGGGAAAAGGCTTAAAGGAGGAAAAAATATCCCCATAGAAACCGTTAGGGGGCAGCAAGACAATAGCAAGGTTAAATTATAGTACCCAAGCCTCGAGTGAAAAGGTATGTGGGATTCAGCCCAACCCATAAGGGGGCAAGACCACATGTGCAACCCACTACTGCCTACTAATTCTCTGCAAATCCATATTAGACTTGCACAGGAAACTCCTGGCCACAAACCAGACATTTCCCTTGCAATGTGTTGTTCTGCCTTCACTGAAGGGGGACCAAGCTCTCCACATAGACCTGGACAGAAGCCTCTCCCCCTCATGCCCTGCCTCTCCTCTGCTATTGACAGAGCCTACACCCACCCTGCAAGGGGGGGGGGGACACCCTACCTTTTAAAGGATCAATTGGTTCCCTTGCACAGGCCTTTGATTTTTACTTGTGTGTTCATTCATATGCCTTCTTTTAGAGAAATATGGTCACTTTAGAATCTTATATTTCCCTCACTCCCAGTCACTGAAGGCATCAAACTTAAGCTAGGAGACTATGGCTGCACAGGTGTGCAAATCATGCATTTCATGAATGGGAGACGTTAAAAAGCCAAGCCTGCAATTCCAGGAAGCAAATTTGAGAGTGGTTGGGAAGCAAAAGATCCCCTGCCCCAGTTCAGTTAGGAGTACAGAAGGTCACAAGCCCAGCTGATCAAGGAAATTTGTAGATACTGCCAAAATCATCACCCCCCCCCCCACATCTATTTCCCCAAGTTACTTTCACATAGCCTGTGAAAGAAATTTGGAGACAGTACCAGTTGTTTGGGATGGAGAACAAGGGGAGAAGAGTTAGTCCACCCTCCCACCTGTTTCCCTTTCCTCACCAAGTGGCTGCTCTGTCCAATGGCACTTGGGGTGCTTCCAGACAAGGCTTGCCTCCTGCAGTTGCCTGACCTCAAGCATAGAGTTAGAATTGAGGCTCCAGATAATGGTACCTTCCACTTGTAATCAACCCTCCCAAAGATTTCCACCACTTCTTCCATCCCTTTTCTTTCCAGAAAACATCAAAGAATTGTTGCAGAATAAAATTTGGGTAGAAGCCCTCTGTCTGGAAGCAACCATGAATGGGGGGGGGGGGGGGTAAGACAATACACCAAGATAGCGAAAGACAACATTGAACTAGAATGTGCCAGAAGAGCTGTTCTGAGTGCATTTCAAAGGTGAATTTGCTGTCTAAAAAGGAAGTGCATCAAGTTGATGGAATTTTCTATTTCTCAGTTTAACACTTAGCTAAAGAGAAGGGGAAAATGTCAAGCATCGTTCCATTATCTAGCTGCTCCTTAACTTGTGCCAAAGCTGCCATGACCACAGTGAAGGGAAGCCTTCCTGTCTTCCATTTGGAAGAGCTGTTGCTCTCATCAGTTTCCAGTAGCTTTATGCTAAACAAAGAGTTTACAAAAACAACATCACAGACAAGACACACAAACAGGCACGCACGCACGCACTCACGCATACATACATACATACAAAAAATCTGGAGCCAAGCGCATCTGTTTGGGTAAAGCAAAAGGGACAAACCAAATTAGGAAATCCCAAAAAGTTGCTTCCATTTGTTTTTTTCTTCTTCTTCTTCTTCTATGTGTCCAGCGCATCCATGCGGCAGGTACTTTTCTTTCCAAAAAGAAAAATAAAAAACAAAAAGAATACTAAGAAAAGAAGGGGAAAAGATTTTGAATAGCAGTGGTCATTCCTTGGGTCGTCAGCACATGCTCACCACCAAAGTTTGAAAATAGTGCAAATTGGAAGAGGTGGTGGGGATGTGCCTGAAATGACTGTCCCCTCCATGGAGGCATGAAAAGTCCCCGGGCGTCAGGGTCTCCCAGAGATTCAGAGTTATCCAGCAAAAACAGGGCTGGGTGGGGTTCCTTAGAGCATTTGACCTTGATTCCTGTTTCCCCGCCTCACCACATCCTTCCAAATAAAACAAAACAGAAAAACAACTGCTCAAAGGGAGAAGGGTGTTGGTGCCTTCCCTGAGGCATCTGATTATGAGAGAGAGAGAGAGAGAGAAAGAGAGAGAGAGAGAGAGAGAGAGAGAGAAGAGAGGGCTCACAATGATGTGAAAATCAACGTTCTCCTCAGCTAGCATCTGATTTAGCTTAGGTCCATCGATAGAGATGGAAGATGTCCTTTACCAGAACGGAGCTGCTTTGGAGTTGGAAGGAACAGCTCCTGCCCTTACACAGTCTCCATCCTGCCTCTTTGGTGTCGGCTTTTGAGCAGCTGATCTGATGGGGTAGGAAAAGCATCTCAGTAGTGAACATAGATTATTTGGGCGCTTCCGGATGAGGGTTTTATTGTGCAATTCCTCCTAGCTCATTTATGGAGTTTTTGGGGGGGGGGGTCCAGACTCCACCTTCTTCCACTTGTACCCCTCCCACATTTTCCCTCCACTCAATTCCTTTTCTTACTGCAAAAAACAATTGGTGGACGTGCAAAAGGTAGAAGAGCTGCTCAGCGACTTTCAATTGGTAATACCAGGAGCTGGCCAGCTGGAAGCACCCTTTGTAATGGCCTTTAAACCATCAGCTGCCCACAAAGGCTCCAGAAGGCAAGGAAGAAAACAGTCTTATTCAAGCATGGAAGCCAGGGGCTGATCCTTTCAGGTCGATCTTTTAAGATTTGGGAGAGCAAAAGTAACTGTTCTTGGCCATGCTGAAATTGGCTTCTTCTACCAGTAGGATCACTCCTCCGTAAAAGTCACAGAAGCCACATCCATTTTCCCATCTGCAGACCTCATGGCAGTGAAACTTTGGATGCAGCATTCATTTCTATGCACCTGTGGCGCTTCCAATGCTTCTCTTGCCCTCCTGTGTACTGGAGACTGCAAACGCTCCATCCCATCCCCTTTTGCTGTGGCTGGACCTTCCAGCTGTCCGACAGCTTGACAGATTTCTTAGCCCTGGTATGGAAATGTCCTGCACCTACTGCCCAGGTGATGTGGCCATAGTCCAGCTTGCAGATCCTACCCTTGAAGGGACATCCTTAGGTAGCAGCAGACTGCTTCCCCCTTCACCCCTGAAGTGCATCTTCTCGTGAAATAAGTGCGGCATAACAAACAACGCCAGTGAAATGTGGGGGTGGGCGAAGAGTGTTTGCTCCATCCACCTCCTTTGCAAGGGTGCAGGATGACGGGTTCAGAACCAAGGAATGTAGACTGCTGGCACACCTCTGCTTGGTGTCGCACTGCCTGTGGCAAGAAAGCTTTCCTGGGAAGCCTCGCATGCAGTTGCTCTACATTTCAGGATCCATGGCTCAGGGAGAGACTGTTTTCCTATGGCAGCTTTGCATTGCCAACGTTAGCCCTTGTCCTGAATTGGGGCACCTCCCTTCTCATTCATGCTCTAGAGTGGAGGGAAATGGCACAAGTACAGCATGGTCTAAACTGGTTGTATATCAAGCAGCAATAACGGAAAAAGGTAGAAAATTGAAATATCTACCTTGGATAGGTCCTACACCCAGGGGTCATTCCAGGCATCCCCATCTTGCATTCTTGGCACCACCCTCTTTGATGCGTGGCTCCTCTAGCTGGACTGCCCTTAGGGTGCCCTCCAGGTAAATTTGGGGCAACACCTGCCAGAAGCACAGACCACTGGCCATGCTTGTTCGGCCTTACAGGAGTTTCAGTCTGAAACACCTGGAGGGCACCAGTTACCTCCTCCCATCTCAGCTTCTCGGTTCCCTGCCTGTTCTATCCTCCTTCCTTCAGCTACCTTCACACCTCAGCTCCAGCTCCCTTGATTCTCTTGCCCTCAGAACCTTTCCTTGCATTTTCCAGCTTCTCTGTTCCCATAGCCTTACTGCCTCGATCCCCAGTTCTTGCTGAAAGAGCACGCTCTCTCCTCTCCCTTGCCTAGGTATGAAATGCTTCTGCTCCTGCACAGCCAAAATTCCCTTCCACTCTCATCCCCATGCAGTTGGCCATCATTCCCCCACTGGCCCAGCTCTTTCAGATGTCAGAAGACTCATGAGCATTCCGTGACATCTCAGCAGCTCAATGACTGACAGGCCATACCCCATGTTCAGCCTGTTCATAAGATACCCACCATTCCTTTCTGGCTGCCGTTGTCACCCTGCAAGCTGAGGAAAGGGTTGGTTTGTGCAGTAAGGACGGGCGGGATAGTTGCCCCAGCGGGGGCTGACATCAGGCTGTTCCCAGGGGTGCTGAGCGGTGGAGAAGCCATTAAGGAACTAGCTGGGTTAAGCTGCTGAGGGGAGATAGAAGCCAGGAGGGTGCTGTTGGCAGCAGGTGGGGCAGAACTGTTGGAATGGAGGAGGGAGGAGGAGGTTGCCGGCCCAAGGCCAGCCATGGGCAACTGAGAGGAGCCTGTCATCTGGAGCCGCTGCAGGTCCCTTTTCTGCTGGATCTGTTGAATCATCTGGAACACTAACGCCTGCTGCTCCTAGGGAACAAATTGGAACAGCCGGTTGCAGAATGACCGGAATAGCATCCCCCCTCCCACCACATGCACACACCCTCCGCAGCAGCAGTCACACTGGCGAGGGCTGAGTGGGCTGCACATACCGAGCTGAGCGGCTGCGAGGTCAGGAGCTGTTGCAGCTGCTGCAGCTGCAGCTCATGCTGGCCAAGAAGCTGCCGCTGCTGCTCCGCCAGGTGGCTCATCCCGGGCAGGCTGCGGAAAGGGAGACAAACAGAATGGGGCCGTCAGCGCAGTGCAGCTCTCCTGGGAGGGCAGTTCAAGCGGGGACAGAGAAGTGGGAGCCTTCGCGTCAAGTGAGCGAAATGATGGGACTCGGGACTGGATCATTCTTGAAGGCAAATGCAGAAGGCAAGGGGTGACAACCCCCTAGTTTTGGTACAGATCTGCAGTGCTCTGTGGAGAAGGTAGTCAGCTGACACTCAGCTGGGCAACCAGAATTGCTTTATGTGGCCTCACTGCACCTCCTTGTCCTCCAAAATGAAAAGGTTTCTTGAATAGGCTGATGGTTCTAACCACTGTGGGCTTTTGAGTTACAAGTGACGATTGTTAAAGCTGGGTCCAGCCTCTTGGCAATTTTTTGCTTGGCAGAAATCCTTTTCCTGGGAAATCCATGTAAAGGAGAAGGAAAAGAGATCCCTCCTGCCCAGTCTCATAACATAAGAGAGCCAGTGTGGTGTAGTGGTTAAGAGCATGGGACTGGGACTTGATGGTCTAGCTTCTAGTCCCCGCTCAGCCATGGAGCCAACTGGGTGACTCTAGGCCAGACTCTCAGCCCAACCTACCTCACAGGGTTGTTGTTGTGGGGATAAGATGGAGGAGGAGAATGATGTAAGCTGCCTTGAGCCCTTTGTAGGAAAAAGGCAGGATATAAATTGGAATAGTGTGTCACTGGAAAGGTTAGCACCATTTTACCCAACTTGGTGCCCTCCAGATGTGTTGTAATCCAACTCACATCATCCCCAGAGAGCATGACTACGTTGGGGAACACTGTGGTAGGCAAGTCACCACGAAATGTTGATGCCTGAGGCAGAAACCTAACTGACACCTCCCCTTTCCATTAAATACTACAAGGCAAAACTAGCTACAAAATTCTCTTGTTCACTAGAATGAACAAGAGCTTGGGCAAATACCACCAAGCACATCAGCCGGCACTGCACAGAAGCATTCTGCCTGGGTCCAGTGTAAGCTGTCAGGTGAGATCACACCTGTGACCTCCCAGGTGCCTTCTCACCATCACGCTGTACTGGTGGCCATGGCGGCAAGTTCATGCTGCCTGGTTTCTTCACATTATTGTTCATGCACTCATAGAACAAAAAAATTTCCCAGGGCCAAAAAGCACATGGACTGCAAAGCAGGGTTGGAGAACCTTGGGCATGGGGGAGAAATCCAGCCCTCCTGGGCTCCCCCAGTCAATCACCAATCTCCTGGTGTTTTCCCAGGTTTTGTGCAGTTTTTTTCCCATTCTAAAGGACTGAAATGCCTTTCCTCAAGGTTAGCTACTGGCAGTAAGAGCTTTAAGCTAAAATGGGCTGGTATTTGGCCCCACCTCTTTGTCTTTGGTTCTCACCCCGCAGAGGAATGTGTGTTTCTTCCCTGTCCTCACCATCCCTCCCAAGAGTGCTCACATGGGATCTGGTGCTTGAGTTGAAAGAAGTCTGACATCTCTGGTGTAAATGCGGAAGCACATCCAGGAAGGGCAAGTACATGCAAAAGTTGTAGGCCCAGAGGCCAGCAGATCAGGCAGGGAGGCATACTCTGCTGCCTAAGGTTTTGTCCAGAAAATGCTTTATTAAATGTACTTGCAGTAACTCACCTGTTCTGGCTGGTGGAGAGCTGCAGGTTTTGGGGAGCACTGCTTTGAGCCAAGAGGGGATTCTGTGCCTGGGTGGCCACTGTTCCATTCAGGCCACCCAGGATGCCATTGATGGGGACCTGCTGACTTCCTGCCAGGCTCCCGAGGAGACCATCCACCAGGCTGTGATTGGCTGGGGTGCCTCCCCCATGGATGGTCCCCATTGCCCTGGCCAAGCCATTTACTGGTGGGGTTGGCTGCTGCTGTAGCCCAGTGGTTAGTGGGAGGGAGGCAGGGCTCTGTTGCAAAAGGGGCAGCGGTGGAGGCGTGCTGTGGAAGGAGAGGGAAGAGCTGCTTCGGCTTGGGCAGCCAGAGTGAGGATCCTGGAAGGGGACAGGAAGGAGGGAGGATTAGGACAGTGCCCTTGGGAATCACAGCTTTGGCATTAGCTATCTCGACACCTGAGGCAGGAGACAACACAGGCTGCTGCTGCATTGCCCCTTCCATTGCCTTCTGGGCCCTGCAACAATCCTGCAGCCGCTTGCTCCAGAGAGCTCTGCGGGCTGCTTTCCCTCTGCAGCAAATGCCATGATGGACAACCAGATGGCAAAGATCTTAAGAGCACCTCAGTGGAGGACCCTCGTGGGCAAGGGTGCAATTCACTGCTCCTTCTGCTCCACTGCCTGACGTGGGCACTTCACCCTGCTTCATGGGAGGGCCAGCCCAGGTGAATCATACTTTGTGCCTTTACTCTGTGCTCAAAAAATTAAGGAAAGGCACTCCCAATTACGTATGCACCAGGAAAAGTGAAATTCTGCCAACTAGAATATGCTGATAGAGCAAAATGTGCATAATTTCCTTTATCTTGTACACAGAAGTTCCATCCCCAAGCACTAGAAATCCATTTTTTCTTGCCACTCCTCTAATAATGGAGATTTCAACAAACATTGCTTGCACATTCTCAAACAAATCCTTGAAGCTTAAGGATTAGAAACATGCTTTAAAAGAAAGACACATGAAGGACAGAGTTGAAGAAGCTGAACTTTGTCCGCAGGACATCCTGCAGAACTGTGGCCAGGCATGTTGCCATGAGCATTTTGGTGACTGAACACATGCTTTTCCCATAGAAATTTCCTTGTTTGGCTCCAATAAAAATCTGATGATACCCCCACTGGAAAGCGTCAATCAGCTCCTGCACAGCTCCTTTTCAGTCAAAGGCCATGTGAGCAGGGAAACCTCCCAATCAACCAGCCCTGTTGCTCACTCAGCAGGCGGGCCTGGGGCTCTGCTACAGGGCAGTAAACCAGGCAACAGGAAGAGGTGCTTTGTACCTCAGAGGATGTGGAGAGGGAGTTCTCGATACCAAAGCTGTTCTTGCAGGGCGGGCTCTTGCTGATGCTCAGAGAGTCGCTGTTGCACACTGGAGGGGGAGAGAGAAGCAAACAGGCCTTTTGACAGCTGCAGGGCCCCTTTCCACACTGAGCGTGGGCCAGACTGTGGGGGGCATTAATCAGGCGGTGAGCCCTTGAGCCATTTTTCTTTCAGAAATAACCAGCATGTGTGTGTGTTAAGGCGTGCAGAATCTGGGCTAAACTATAGCATGCGGGGAGGGGGAGCTTTAGATTTTTGTCTTTGACAGCACTCCTGATGTGGACTGGGGCTCCTATGCCTGCAATTTGCATGTGGGGTGGAATTCCTATTGAAGTCCATGGGAGCTTCCTTTCCCTCCACCCATAATGCAATTTGCTGGGAAACACTCAGAGGCTGAATCCCCCCTACTCTCATCTCTGGGCCCCAATCTGGGCCAGAACCCCCCTCCCCCACATAGACAGCACCTTTCTCAAAGAAAAATCCTAATCACATGATCAATATAATTAGTAGCTTGGTCCCTAGATTGGCTGGCCACACACACATCTGAGATTAAGACTAAAAGCTTCATTCTGAGCCATACAGAATGGCTTACTGGCAGGTCCATGCCTCTTTTTACTGCTTTAGCCCCTTCAAAATATTCATCATAACACGTAAATATCCACACTACGTATTTCCTTGCAGATGAGCCAACCATGTCAAATATTGGGGGTTTATATACTATGGCATGTATGGTCTACAGTATGTGTCATCTAAATGTGTCACTCTACAGTTTATCATTGGTTTCCTGCAGCCATTTATATCTTGCGCAAAACCAAACCAAGTATCAGAAAAGTTATCAGTTTCTTGTTGCTTGTGTTGTGCTCTCGGTTGCTTGGTGAGCTTTTCAGCCAAGATGATATTCCAGAAATAGCTCTACCAGATGTCCAATGTCAATAATAAACGTGCCTTCCAATTTGTTGCCATACTGTGTCTCACAGCTACTAGCATAGACTTCTTTCTTTCTATCTAGCTTGCTGTCGCCTGCCACTACCCTGCAGTAGCTCTCGAGGATGAGAGCACATTCTATTGGTGGGTGGAGAAGAAGGGGAATGTGGCCAACATATTTAAAAATGTCAAGCAATTTTACTTGGGAGCAATTACTCCAGTACATAAGTCTTGAGAGTCTTTTCAACTTTGTAGAATGGTGGTCTGAGGGGAAACAATGCCAGAAAACTACACAAAAATTGGCCAGGGAAAAGAGGCATGGCCTTCTGGGTAATTGCAGAGAGCCAGAATATGTTCACAGGAAGGCTATGTTTGACCTATGGGCTTCAGATTCAACACCGCTGCTTTGTATGATAACTGAGCATTTTGATCAGAAAAAAATAGGTAAGAAAGCCAATCTTTACCCTTAGGATGTTTTTGCATTCATTAAGCGTACAATGCATTGGAGATGCCTGTAAGCTTCTGAGCTCAGATTATGTGCACCCTATGCAGAGTGGGAGAAGCACAGAGCCGAACGTCAAGTTTGTGTTCTTGCGGCCCTGCAAATCCCGTAGATTGCAGCTGACTAGAGAAGTGCTTTGGGGCAGCTAGGAAAGAAAGCTGGAGCACCACTGGGATACGATCTGCCCTGGCAGGCTTGGTCTCCTCCCCAGAACATCTTCACAGTTCTTTCCATGCCAACCATGAGGTGGTGGAAGGGGGACCTGAGGTGGATCCCCTCTTCAAGATCAGAGTGCGCTGCCAAACTCAGAGCTGGGAATTCAAATGTTCCTACTTCCTATGTAGTTAGTACATACCCAGGTTAATGCAACCTCAGCAACAGTGGGAATTTGTATTTGTTTAAATTCTACTAGAGACAACTGGTATTAGTTCATCATTAATTTTTTGACTGCACATGCCGATTTTCTAATTCTTAGTGTATGACACAGCTCAGAACAGAAAATAAATGAAAATTCACAGAATATTACAAAGCTTAAGAACCATAAAATAAACAACATACACATAAAAGTCGACCTTTTTATTCAAATGTTATTTTAATTGTTAATATTCTTTCTTTCTTTCTTTCTTTCTTTCTTTCTTTCTTTCTTTCTTTCTTTCTTTTTTGGCCAGGTCGACTCAAATTATATTGATTTATATTGTGTTTATTTATCTATTATTGTGAGCCGCCCCGAGGCTTCAGCAAATGGGGCGGCATAGAAGATAGATAGATAGATAGATAGATAGATAGATAGATAGATAGATAAATAAAAGCAATAAACAAAAGCAATAAACAAAAGCAGTGAAAGGCAGGCAGGATCAACCTCACAAATACTCCTTCAAAGCCCTGGTGAATTAAGTATGTTAACCAGACACCTGCTGCAACACAGCAACGTTGGTGCCTCCTTAATTTGTCAGGGGAGGCATTCCAGAGATGGGATGCCAGCAGTGCAAAGGTCCTTTTCAAGAACTTAGTAGTATCCACAGATCAGGGCAGGTGAGTTTTCTTACCATTGGGGGCTAGGATGTACTGGGTCTGCCCCGAGGGCCCATTGCTGGTGGTTACCACTGGGAAGGGGACAGAGAGCTGAACATTCAGAAGCTGCAAGCGTTCCTTTTTAGCAGCCAGCGTCATGATCTGCTCCTGGAGACGCTGATTCTCTTTCTGCAGCGAATGGAGTGCCTTGAGCATTTCTACAACTGCAGAAAATGTGGGCAGGAAGGGGGGTCGGGAGAGGAGAGAGATACAAAGGGGGTGTCGGGTTCAAAGGGATTGGGGGGAAGAATAGTGACACAATTGGAGCATATATGAAATGGCGGTTGTGGTATGGAAGGCAAAGGCACTTGAGGTACCCCAGAATTCTTCTCTGAAATAATCCTCACTCATTTGCCAATTACAACCTTTCCCAACCTGGTGCCCTCCAGATGTGTTGGATTATAACTCCCATCATCCTCAGCTATTGGCCACTGACTGTGATAAGGGTGGTTACTGTCCAACCCATTTTGTGGGGATGCCTGGTCTATTATATGTGGATGCCACCCTTCTTTCAAGGAGCTCTGCCTGGCATACAACGGGTGATATTTCCTCATGGCAGCCTTGCAAGTTGTGTTGAACTCATAAATTAGTACATGGGCCAAGTCATCCAGTATTTCTATATAATTTTAAATTAGACCATTTCCTTGAAAATATTCCAGGAAATTTTTCTGATTCCAACCCAGCTCCCTTGAGTGCCTTAAACCTGTTTCTCAGGACGTTGTGTGACTACAACATCCATCAACACCTGACCATTAGACATGCTGCCTGGGTCTGAAGGGAGTTGGAATCCAACTACCATCTGGAGGACTGTAGGTTTTCCACCCCTCTCCTAAATCAAATGCAGTTTGATTTAGCATACTGATGTTTAGTAAACAAAACTAAAATGCCATGTCATTTTAATTGGGCATGCTCTATAAAAAAGTCCAATATTTTTCCAGTGGTCAGAAATATTTCAACTGAACTATATGATTAAAGGAAAACATCCAGGGAGCATCAGGGCAGGATTTACCCTGCAGGCCAGACGTTCAACAGGTTGGATGCCGCCTTTTCCTTCAGCCTGCCACCTCTTTCTCTAGTGGGACTCCTGCCTTGAATACCCACAAAAAAGCAGAAGTGCGGCTGCAGATTTTTTCTGCAGCATGGAGATGAACTGCTGGGAGATGCTGGAGGGGCACAGGCTTGCCTTCCTCAGATTGCCCCAGCCTCCACCCTCAAGCAAGAGGGCCCTTCCAGTGTGACTCACTGTTGACACCAGCCTCTCCATTGCCCTGTTTCTCCAAGAGCTGCTCGATGTTCGGTGTGGCCTGAGGGACGTTCTCCAGCGGCCCACTGCTAGTCGATACAGTCTGGTCAAAGAGGGTGGGGAGCGTACTGATGGGGGACCTGGTGGGAGCAGGAAAAAGCTGTCAGAAGTGGGAAGGCCTGCCCATAGGGGGCAGTCCCAGTGTCATAACAAATGTTCATTTCCTCCTGTCTCATACTCAGGGCTCTGCAGTAGCTGGATCCAAGGGTATGAGAAACAAAAAGGTCCATTCTGCAAATTAAATATATTACGCAGATTTATTTGCTTATTTTGCATCTATTATTCTTGAACTTCCAGTATTCTAGACCACTGGCCATACTAGGAAGGGCTTATGGGAACAGAAGTCCAAAATGTCTAAAGATTTATCTTCCACCCGCTCCTGCTGCAGGGACTGAGTAGACTCTGCCAAATGAAGTCAAAATGTTTCTAGGCTTTTTTTCAACTAGCCTCCTACAGACTTTTCTGCATGAGGCTTTTATGGTCTGCTTGTGATTCCAAATGCATGGTTGTTTGATAACATAGTTGTATAGATAACATAGATAACATCATGGTCCTCCAGTTTCATTTTTTCCATGGTTGTCTTCCCATTTTTTTATTTTATTTATGTTATCTAAAGGCAGGGAAAATGGGTGTTTAAATTACAGAGTAGGGAAGAATGGCAGCTGGAGCTCCTCAAATATTTCTTCTATAGCACAGGTCCACCTAGAGGTTATGTGCTGGAAAAGCAGGGAAGAAGAGCTCTTTGTGTAAAGGTGGGGTTTTAGTACTGTACTGAATCTAAAAGCAGATAAAGTAATTTACAGCACAATAAATGCCTCGTGCAGAAAAGCACTCAGGGATTAGGAGACCTGGTAGCCAGCATTTACACGTAAGCCAGAAAGGAGGGAAAACCTCTTCCTCTATAACCAGAATGGAAATGCAGGCTGGTTAATCATCACCATCATCATCTAAAAACCAACACTGTCTGCTATCAAGTGGATTTGTGGGGGAGGAATCTTGTCCCTTTCCCAGCCTCATATATGTCTATACCAGTTGCAGAGGCTCAGACACTGCTTCCCTCTAAGGCTACCACAGAAACCAAGTGGGCTGGCGGTGCAGCAAGAATGAAATGATCTGTCCTTGGTTACCAGAAAAGTTGCTAAATACAAGGCTGGTCAAACTTCTAACAAGCTGTGGGTGAAGCATGTCATTCTGGAGGGAAAACAGCACCAAAAGTTAGTTTTTCCTTCCCTTCCACTCCTACACTGCTTTTCCCAGGGGATGTTATGATCTTTCTCCGAACACATTGCCATGGGACAAGGCTGGGGTTTTGGAGAAATGGACAGCAGGAAACCTTTTCCACCTGTTCCTGCTCAGTTAAAGAAGATGAATTCTGATCATATCTCATTGCAGAAGACCAGTCCAATGGGAGCCAGACAGAGTTTATTAATAAAGACCGTTTCCCAACTTTGCAACATGTTCCAAACACAGGAAATGATATAAATGAAACATCTGTATTCCAATGCAACAGTCTCCTCCAGCTTAACTCCAGAGTAACTAAACTATTTCACTGGACAATGGTTCTGTTTCCCTGGTATAAAAAAGCTGTTCTTTCCGCATCAGGCCCACAGACTCTGACAACCAGGTGCCCTCCAGATGTTTCAGATTACAATACCCACACCCCATCCTACATTCTTGCTTGGAGGTGATGGAAGGAGGAGTTAAGCACATCTCGAGGGTGCCAGGCTGGAGGAGGCTGGGTTAGCATTTAGGACATGTGGGAAGCCAGCTGTTTAATAAGTCCATTGCACACCCACTGGCTTAGCTTTCTCTTTAGGCTGCTATGTGGGGCGACCTTCTGAACATAGAGCTTATTCTGCCCTTCAGAGCGTATTATTTCCTTCCCTTTCCCCAGCACAGCCTTTCAAGAAAATAAACTTACATGGAAGAGAGGCTTTCTTGGGGTGAGGAGCCTCGGCAGGCAAAATTACAGTCTTCCAAATCTGGTTCTGGTAGCAGAAAGATAAATGGTGATCTTTTAAAAATAAATTACAGCCTCCACAAACACCACCACAAACCCTAGTGTTAGCAAAAATAGGACACAAAGCCCATTGGCCTTCAGTACTGCCCAATTTTGGTGTCACACTGCAACTTTTAAAAAAACCTCTACAATCCTCATTTTTTGGCAGAGCGGCAATGAGGAAGATTGGCCAGGATAATGTCTGAAGTTGCCCATCTTTGAACTAGAGACCAGACTGCACAGAATGGCAGCTTGCCAAGGTATGTCCCATAGGGAGAAAGGATCCTACATTTGAAGCAAATGGGTTATGCAGTTGAAGGGACCTAAAGCTTTCCAGTGCCTGCTGCTTACCAAAGTGTAGGAATTCCCCTTCAGTACTTTCCTCCCAAAAGAGCTAACTTCAAGTATGAAGGCTTTGCTGAGAAGAAAAACTTGGGGGTGGGGGAGGCACTCTGGGAATATATAAGCTTTAACAGTAAAGCATTTAACATTCTCTATGCATTATTTTTGTTCTAAAACTGGCCCCAGTTGTTAAAGGGCAGGCCCTGGCTTAGAGAAATCAGTGCCAGCTCCAAATTGGATGGACTCTTGAGCAAACTAACAGCAGTGAACCCCTTCTATGGACAGGTCTACTTCCTTCTCACTTCTGTGCCAGCTGTCCATTCACATGCTCTCCTCCTACAAGCCATAAGGCAAAGCAAGGCAAGGCCGTAAGGCCAGGCCAGCTGCTCCCTTCTCTTCCTCATGCTTGTCACTGCATTTCAGTTCAGAGAGGGCAGATGCACATGAAAGAGGAAAAGGAGAGACAGGACCAGGTACTTCAGCCATTGTCAGTGGGGGGCCCTGCAGAAGTGTGGGCCTTAGCAGGTGCCAACGGTACCTGGGTGTAACATCTACCTTGGTGTGCAAAATCCCTGTGAATTTTGCCACACTGGCAGTTTTGGAGAGGTGGACCCAGCCTGCTTAGTATTAAGATTTTGCTCCTTTCCAATTGTCCTATTAGCTCTGCCATTAATATACTACACTATGACATGTCATATGCCGAGCTGCTTTAGAACAAAAGCCTCTTAAATCTACCATGAAACTGAAAGCATTCATGGCAACCTCCACAAACACAACCACTTCCTGTCCCCAGTTATGTAGTTGCTTCCATGGGCCACCAGATGGCAGAATAGCGCAGTCCCTGTCACTCATAAACGTAGCTCTCTCCTTCACTGCCCATGCGCATGGCCCTCTGTGCTCATTCCTAAGAGTTCCAGGTCAGATTTCAGCTGCTTGGCCAGTGTACAGAGCCTGCCTTTGTAAACGGCATGTTCTTCATGACAAGCCAAAGAATAAAATCTCATCTTGCCCCCAATTCATTCAATCTCATTGACACAGAGAAAGAAGATAACCCTGAATGCTTTCAAAGGAGTTCAGAGCTCATGCGGAACTTTTTCATTTCTGTACCTGTCCGGCTGGTTTCTGACTGGCTCAGAAGGGGGTTGACTGACAGTCCAGAAGTAAGAGGGCTTCCAAAAATGTTCGATGAAGGGAGACTAAATGTAGGTCCCGCTAGTGAGAACACCTGTGAAAGGGGAAAGAGAAAGGAGAAAACAAACATTTGGCTAAAGACCCTTCTTTTCTGAGGTTCCACCAAATCCTTGACTGCTGCTGATGGGATTATCATTTTGTGAAGAAGCAAGTCTGCTTCTGGGGTCTTATCTAAGCAAGGCTCCAAAATGAAATGTTCCTTGAAATGTTCAAGAAAGACCAAAACCTTTACACAAGTAAAGCCAGCAACCAGGATAACAGGAAGAGGTTTGGCTTTGCATCCCAAGTCATGGAGCGGGTGCCTTCTGGAGTACTTCTATAGATCACCATCACCACTGTCATAGAGCAGCAGCATTATTGTTATTATTAACAGCAAGGGTGTTACTCCACTCTATCTATTACTGGTTTCATTGCAGAATTCAGACCTAAACACTCCATGAAAAGTGTTTCCTTTGGTGCTGTTTTTCGGCGCCAGGCTAAGACCTTTTTATTTAAAACTTATTTTAATTGTTAATTTATTGGTATTTATAGGATTTTAAATCTTTCAAGCCGAGATGCACTGGGTTTTAATATTTTTGTTGTATAATTGTTATATTTGTATATTTTGTTTTTGTTGTGAGCCGCCCCGAGGCTTTGTTGCGATGGGGGTGGCATAAAAATGTGTTAAATAAATACATACATACATAGCGTCTAGGTGGTACTACTGTATAACAGAATAGTGTAAATACACAAGAGGAAATGGCACTTCCTTTCACCATCAGAAATGATACTCCATTTCTCCTGCTTTAAAGCAATCCACAGAAATTTTACAAACAAAAGTGAAACTGGAGGGTCATGGTGTCTAAAGGACCCATAAACATGCATGAATAAAGGAGGACACACACATAAGAAATGCCTTGCATAGAAAAGCTCCTTGTTTTGATTTTAACAGGAAGGTAGTAGAGAATTGAGCTTTTAGTTAATGACAGAATGTGCAGGTTGCCTTATTTGCCATGGCTGAAGGATGTGTGGTGCACCTTTGAATCTTATCATGAAACCAATCCCAGTAAAGCATATTCAACCAAGGAATGCTGCCATTGGCTAGCAGCTGTTATTTTTTTTGTCATGGATTCTGAATAGATACACTATAAAACAGCAAGTAGCAAGAGCAACCACTGGCTACTTATCGGACCACTGAGGACTTGGCTACTTTTGTCTATAACTTTTAAGGGATGCAATCATTCTTGGTTTGCTTTGCATTTTACATATCATAACTTACAGAGGTCAGATCTATGAGCTATTCAATTATTTTCTTTCTGATAAATCCCCTCCCATGGTTAAGATGGTCCTTCTCTACCTAGATGTCACCAGAGTGAATGTGCAAAAGAACTGGGAGTCTGACCCTCCCATAGAAATGAACAGGTGCAACACCAATGTTAGAAGTTGTTACCTGGGTAGTAGAGACGGAGGAAGAAGAGGAGGTTGGGATGGTGCTAGCGAAGGGAGAGCGGGTGAGCTGCGGAAGCGATGCAGTGCCTTGGTGAGCCAGAAGGCTGGAAGAGAGGGGAGTGCTGCATACGGTCCTGAGTACCCCACCACCATGCGAAATGGGGTCCTTGTTGCTCGTGTAAATCCCTGCAGGAAGAAATCAGAGAGGAACTTGAGATGAGGCAGCCAGCTGGGGATGTGCAGAAACAGGGATATCTGGCTCATCTGAGCTCAAAGGATTTTCTGCTCACTTCTGGTCTGACGACTGGAAGGGGGCAAGTTGTTTTTTTTCTGTGGACTTCTGACTCTAAGACAGACCACAACTTACCCTTAATTTTTTAGCCACTCATTAAATTTATGCAAATAAGCACTCCAAAACCACCAGATTTTTGTAAATTGGTTGACTGCTGCAAATCAACTGGTTCTGAACAAATCATGTTAGAGCATGTGGATTTTAGGTATATATTTACACGGGTTTTTTCAGTAGTTCAAAACAATACATATATTATAGTCCATCTTCGAGGTGGAAGTCTGCAAGCTGATTTGGCTTGCACTACAGCAAGTAAGAGCCAGCACAAGTCTAACAAACCAGAATCCAGATGGCTGAATCATGAAAATACATTGGATTTCAACCTCCTGTCAGATTTCACATACACCCCAAAACCAGACACCCCCAGTCCTCTGCCTTGTCCCATGTTGTGACTCTAAAGCTAAAAACACATGCAATGGGGCTAATCTGGAAATATTTCTACTGCCTCAAATCCTAATGTACACATTCCTGAAGTAACAAAAAACTAGCACCACTGGGGTCATTTTTTACCCCAAACAGGAAAGCACTTCAGGGAAGGAAAATGCTGCAACTGAAAAGCCTCCCTTCTGGCTAAAATTTTCCCTCAAGAGGTTTCAGTCAACATAATAATGGCTTTCAGCTCTCACCAAGTACAGGCAGTTTAACATGCAAAACTAGAAAATCTACATGACAATGCTGGACCTATTGACTTTTAAACTGCACAACAATGGTTTGGCCTACTAAATTTTAAAAAAATCATAGCACAGTTTTCCTTCAATGGAGTTTAATTCTGTTTGCTGGAGATTTTAGCTAATATTATTAGTATTAAAACAAGACTAAGGTGATGTGTTCTGAACTTTCTTTTGTTCCTTTTTTGGCAGCCTATTTTTGGGGTATAAAAGTATCCTACATAGCTACTGCTATGGAGATTCTGGGATACTTTTGTGTCCCAGGCATGTTAAACATAAGGCAGGGTGAAGAGGGGACTATAAAAAGTAGAAAGCTGAAATTTGGGGATGTTTTAGACTAGGTACTTTGTGGCAATGTCCCAGAAGAACAAGTTGGTAGGACTACTAGCATAAATTACAGAATATGAGTTATGGGGATACCAGTTACACCACAATGTGGGGTTGGTGGCTGAATTGGCTTCATAAGGTTTAGGCAAAAGCAAGTTGCACACAAGCACAACGTGGATTGGATAGCCTCCTGCAGTATCACTCCTCTCCCCACACTTCAGTATTCTCAGATCACTTTTGTACTTTTAGAAAGTCTCTATTTATTTAACATTAAAGTGGTGAGTAAACCAATGAACATTTATTAAACGCTCCTCTTTTCCTCCCCTCCCCTTTAAAAAAAAGCCTATTCGAACCATGGCAAAGGAGACTTCAATAAAGTTGAGACAAGGTTGAATTCAATAGCATGCATGACTGTCATTTAAGCTGCAACGCGGGGAGGAAGCCAGGCGTATACTACAGCTGAAGAATTCACTGTAGTCTGTTTTGTCCCCTCCCACCAGCAGCCCCAGCCCAATGTATCTTGTTAGACCAGTTCAGGCTGCAAAGAAGTGAATTGTTTATAGGCAAGGTAGAGTAAAAGAAACTGAAACTGATCAGACTCAAGTTAAAATGAGGGGAAACTCCTAGTCAATTTCACACCCACCCACTCATACATATACCTTGGCAATAAGCAGCAGGGTATTGGTTGCTGCATAAACACTCCACAGTGTGTCTCACAGATGCTTCCTCTCTCTGCCACAATCACAAGACTTTTTTGGCTTACCACACCTTTTGCCCCTTTGGCTACTTTCTTCCCACAAACTGCAGCTGCAAATTCATAGCCTGCAACAGCCCTTCCAATGTGCCCAAGGAGTGCATTGGAGAGGCACTTATTGGCTGCCCATCCTTTAAAAAAAAGTGTGCCATTTTTTCAGTTTTTCAAAACAAAGGCTTATTGGACTTGTGCGAGCATGTACTTATGCAATTTCAGGGATATGAAAATGGGAAGTCTCACCTGGGCTATGACATGCTGGAGGGTGACTGCTGTCAGAATGCAATAGATACCAACTCTGAACACCAATTCAGAGCAGTTCCAAATACTTTTTCCCACTTTGCTTTCTCCTGACAGCTGTCAAAAGGGAAGACATGAAAGATCTTTCCGCAAAGAAAGGATAAGTACCTTTTCTCTCCCCTCCACAGAGAGATTTTCAGGATTTTGACTGTTTCCCCCACATAGGTCCCTCCCTTTCCTAAGAATCCTGATGTTCAGGAAGATGGGAAAGTACACACTCACACACACACAAACCCCACACACCTTTTCACTAACATTTACTTCTGACAGGTGTCAGAAGTAGGGCTATTTTGGAAAACAGGAATTTAGCTGGTGCAAAAAAAATGGTAGTTTTGTCAGGGATGCATACATACAAAATTTGTATACTTCCCAGTCCAATCTACCCTTTTCCTCTTCCTAAAACCCTGTTGTTATTATTGTTGTTTTAAATAGCTGTGCTTCTGATACCTGTCAGACGCAAGTGTCAGCAAAAAGGGGCTCGCTGTACCTCCTTCATGGGTGGAAAAGTCGAGAGCATTGAGAGCACTGGGAAGGAGACACAAAAACTCGAGGATCTTGCTGAGAAGAAAGCTGGAGGGAGACGGTGCCTAACCCTTTTGAAGAAAAAAGATTACTCTTTACTTTCTCTTGACAGCTGATTTTTTAAGCTGCAAGAAGAAAGGAAAGTTGGAAAATCCCTTTTGGAACCTCTCTTCATCAGTGTCTATGGTTGGCACCTGCCATATTTTGACATCACCCCGCCAACAAAAGTGCGTACAGTCAAGGTTATGGTTTTCCCAGTTGCAATGTATGGCTGTGAAAGCTGGACCATAAGGAAGGCTGAGCACCGAAGAACTGAGGCCTCTGAATAGTGGTGCTGGAGGAGACTCCTGCGAGTCCCTTGGACTACAAAGGGATCAAACTAGTCAGTCCTAGAGGAGATCAACCCAGACTGCTCTTTAGAAGTCCAGATACTGAAGACGAAACTCAAATACTTTGGCCACCTAATGAGAAGGACGGACTCCCTAGAGAAGAGCCTAATCCTGGGAACAATTGACGACAAAAGAAGAAGGGGATGGCAGAGAATGAGGTGGCTAGATGGAGTCACTGAGGCAGTTGGCGTGAGCTTAAGTGGACTCCGGGGGATGGTGGAAGACAGGAAGTCCTGGAGGAATGTTGTCCATGGGGTCGCGATGGGTCGGACATGACTTCGCGACGAACAACAACAACAAATACACTCCCCAGGACTTTGATCAGGCGAGGCTTTTCATTTTCAGACTTGTGGAACTGCATACCTACACAGTTGCACAAGTCCAACTAAAAAGTAAATCATGAAAAATCCGTGCACACTGGGCGGGGTTCCCCCCTTTTTAAGGGGCTGCCTAACCAGTAACAGCCCCCCAAGATGCTGCTTAGGCATTTGGGACAGGCTGTCATTGGTGATGGCACAGGCAAGATTGTCAAAAGCAGTGATGTTTTTTGCCACTCTTCCAAAGTGCTTTGCTTGCTGCTTCCCTTTACCCACACTGGTTCATTCACTCAGTTTCAGACAATGTGACAGACCCATGGTGCATAAAATAGCCCTCAGAACAAACAAAGCATTTTCAAGGAGGCTTGTTGCACAAAAGCCACCCTGTGGATAGCAGTCTGTGTTTGAATGACACAACAAAGTGTACTGATGGATCATGGCTTATCATGTCATGCAAACCAAGTCTCTCTCTCTCTCTCTCTCTCTCTCTCTCTCTCTCTCACACACACACACACACAC